GGGCAGCAACTTTCTGACAGATATATAGGCATTGTGGAAAGTCATATAGATGGAAAATTTTCTTAACCATTTTAAGAATGGCTTCCACAACCCTTGGGTCCTGGCTCGTCGTAACAGTTTGCCAGATAGTATCGGTATGCTCATCTTGGTAGGTTTTTGTTACTACTAAAAAGCCAACGATATTGTGACTTTCATTAATGATCTCGGGGTGAGACCCGATACCAACAATGTAGTCGATTAGCTTATGTTGCAATAAGAACTTTGCAAAGTAGGATAGAATTGCGATATTGCTGGAGTTCGCTTCTTTTCCTTCTTTTGGTCGATGAGAACTAAAGAGACTCACGAGGTCCAGACAGAGAGTTGTTACACCGATCACCCGAAGTTGCATCTGACTTGATGTGATGAGCTTTTGAAGGACGGAAACCTTCCAGTCGACAGCAGCGACCTTAGAGAGGTGTGCGTCTGCAATGCCCGGACTAATCATTTTCTGACTTTCAAATCGAGCACTCGCTATTTGAGGAATGGCGGATGCTGCGACCCACAATATATACGAGAGACAACTTAGATGTGTAGTTGCAGCGTCAAGAGTCAGAAAAGTAACATTTTTCTCGATGATAGAATCCAGTCCTGACGACATGATATTAAAATATTCGTATGCAATGGCCAGCTTCCGCATAGCGTCATCATGGACGTCAGGTGCGGCCTGTCTCTTAGTCGTAGCTGAAGCAACAGCACTCATTCTCTCCACCAATCTTGTCGGATCTGTCAAATTCTCAAATAGTCTTGGATAATTTGGAATAAGTCTCAATTGGCCTTCAACGTATCTGGTCAGGAGAATCATGGATCCGCCACCTTCCTCGAAGTAAGCTTGAAACTCAGCAGTATCTTCGTCCCACTTCCAATTGAAACATGCTTCCATACTTTTTCCGATGTGACTTAACTCTGTATCGAACTTCTGTAGTTGAGCATAAGTGCGAAGAAAATGTGGTGATACGAGCTCCGAAGTTTGATCTGCATCATATGTTAAGGTTCTGACGTCCATTGCGAGGAATCTCCCTGTGAGTTTGGCGTATCGGTACAGGAACTGGGTTAGAGATTTGGATTGTGCGTTTACTCTATACATGAAAGGTCCAAAACGAACACTATTTTAAGTTAGCTTGGAACGACCTCTGCATTTGCAAGTACTGCTAACCTTCGAAAATGCAATGCAAGTATCAAGTCCGAGAATGAAAACCAAAAGTCTCTATATCTGGTAAATGCGCCATGCAAGCGATTGTCTGAATTGGCGGAGCGCAAGAAATCATCTATCCAGTTTCGAAGTCGAATAAATATATCCTCAGTGTCAATGGCCTCTACACTCAGTGTTAGATACATTCTACATATTTCAGTTGCGCAGAATTCCTTACCATATTGCAAAATGTTTGTAGCCCTTCTAAGTGCCATGAGTAGATTTTCTCCGCGACGTTGGTAAGGGAAGTGATTTAGAGGATCGGGAAATACTTCCTCCTCATTGATGATAGCAAGGGTTGGACTTCTCTCAGGATCATCAGAACTGATAGGAACTAGTTCAACCTCTGGGCTTCCTGTCGCGGAAGGAGAGGAAGAGGGGGTTTCAATGACTGAAGCTGGCACAGTTGATAGAACATCACTCTCGGATTCAATACTTATTCTGGTAACTTCGTCTTCCATTGTATTTGGTATATTTGATTGACTCATAGGAGAAGGCGAGGTGGGGGAAGGTGACTCTAAACGATGCTGAGGAGTTCGCAGATTGATTGTAACTTGACTGGATGTTGGACCAGCTTGGGAATGCGCCGTGGTAGGACGTGTTGGAGTGCTTGGTGGGAGAGGATGATGGTGACCATCTATATTATCTTTATGCGAAGACATCGAATCGGGTAGAATATCTAAAGCTTGAGTTGTATCGACCGACCTACTTCTCGAGCCACTTCTGGAAGTCTTTTGTCGCTTTCTCGCAGAATGTTGTTCGCTATCATCAAATGGAAGGGGATGTGTCGAACAAGGCTCTGATGAGACCGCACGTTCTGGCGACGACTTTACTGAATCTTGGTCCATTTGGTAAGGTTGAGAAACTAAATGAATGGGATAGAAGCTGTCCAGGACAGCAGGAGCTGTAGCAGCAGAAACCTTTCGTTAAAATTCACACAACAAACCTCTAAGAAAATCGCATAGGTGATTATAATTTATTGAATTGAAATTCCCCGCACGAGGTTGAGGCTGGTGAATTTGGGGATGAGACTGAAGAATTGACCTTTTGGGTACAGCCGTATGACGGAATGAGAGGGGTAGATTCGCAGGACAAAAATTAAGAGGTTGAAGTAGTTTGATTATGCGATTAAGATGTAGTATCGAAAGCTACCATTCATTACAGTTTTCCCGATAGAAATCTGTTGGGGAGGGTGGTAAGTAGAAGGAAAAAAGATTGTTCTCTGTGTGTGTAGTGAGTGTATGTGTCGTGGGAGGAGAAGTAAGAGAGAGAGAGGGAGGTAGTTACGTAGTTGCAATCAACGAAATCGGATTGGAAAGATACCTAGAACTAAGGTAAGGTAAGGTAAGGTAAAAACTAAGATAACTCGATGTATTTATTGATTGTTTTGTATTGAAGTGAAGTGAATAAGTATCAAAGAAGACCTGTCTTCTTTTCCTTATTCATAAGCAAAATCAATATCCTTGTGCAATATAGAAAAAAGAGAAGGAAGCTGGAATTGAAATATTAGAAGTTTTTTTGTGTGAATTAATTTTTGGAATGTTTATGATAGAAGGGTTTTGGACGATGATGATTTACCTACCTAGCACCTAGTCATAACTCTTATCAAAAGTTCACTACTAGGTAGGAATAATAAGTGTCATAGAGCTTCGTCGCCCCACCATCACTCTTGACGTGTGTGTTAAAGCGGCAAGGACTATCGCGATTCCTCCTCATGAAATTGACATTGGATGAGGCTGCCTAGAGACAAAGTGTAAAAGTGGCAAGGCTTTGAGAGTTCAAGGTGACAAAGTTCACGCGCCAAACACAGAAATTGCAGCCTGAGGTATGAGTGCGTCACTAGAGAAGCAGAATTCTGTGCAGCTGCTAAGCCCGATTGTGTTTAGTGGAAGCTAGTACGTTCGTTTTATCTAGTCTACCGATGCATCAAATACTCCATAGGGTTTTGAACATCTGCATCACATATTGCTCATTTACATACTACAGTACAAGTATCAATCGGCATCACGATACAAACATATATGCATCACATGATCAAATGAGTTGAAATCAATCAAACCGAATAGTCCTATAGAAAAACTCAATCTTCACAATTCATCTAGTATATCCACCCTTCAAAATAGCCATCTACCTCTCTCATTGTTTCCACCCCGAGGAAGGGAAAGGAAAAAATGGATCATAGAAAATCCAAAACCATTTATGAATTGGATACTCCATTTACATTACCTAATTGGTTAGTAAATATTCAATGCTATTGTATTGGAGCAATATTAATCCGAAATTTTAGGCCACAAGTATCTTTCAAAGATCAAGAAACCATTGTGGAACTTCTATGCAGGTGTGTAAATAACCTGATGCACAAGAACCTGAAATTATCTTACACTCATTGATTTATACTACAAGGAGATTCTTCTTGACGTCGCTCCTCTCCTTGAAATTGCCCAGACAGGACATGAGTGCAGAGAGTTCTGCAGTATTTATCCAAGAATTCTTCGAAAGCAATGCCAAGTCCATAGTGATTACAAGGCTAATAGTTTTTGCAGTTTACTGTCCCCCATTGGTGCATATCGTTCCAATCACATTACTCCATCTAAAGGAAAGCGAAGCAAGAAGCGCAAGAGAAGAGACCTGAAGTCAGAAAATGAGATCCCCTCAGATATTCCTTCATCGCCTGAAATATCTTCCTATATATTCACAGGCCTTAATAGTATCCATCGAATGCTAGAGGAATCAACCAAAAGAGGCCTTGAGACCAAAGAAAGTCTCAACATCGGACCAGAAACTCGGCCCCAATCTAACGAAGTCGACTCCAGTACTCAAAGCCCACCCCGTGCTCATTTCTCAGCCATCTTCGTCGCCCGCTCCAATCAGCACCCAATTTTCAACTCTCATCTTCCCCAGCTCCTTAACACAGCCTCAAAAGCATACCCTACCAAACCACCCACAAGATTAGTACAACTACCTAAAGGATCCGAAACCCGGATAGCAACAGCCCTCGGTCTACCAAGAGTTTCGTTCCTTGGAATTCTGGACGATGCTCCAGATTCTAAGGCTTTGATTGATTTAATCCGAGATTGTGTGGGGGAAATCGAAATACCTTGGCTGAATGAGGCGAAGAAGGCGGAGTTTTTGGAGACGAAAATTAATTCTATTCAAACCACGATTGGTGCGGTGAAGGCCAAATGAGTACAGATGGATAAGAAAGACGGAGAAATATTCTGGATGTCAAGATCGACCATGGAACATGTTCATTGAATATTCCAGCACACTTGAACGATGTCCATCGAATATTTGATACAATCCGAATAATTAACATCGTCCCGGTCATGCTCGCCAGCAAATACACTGTGCCAAAAAAAAACAATACTTGGGCCCTAAGTATATCGACAGTATCAATGCGATATCCTGAGTCGATTAGAAAATACCAAAAGATATTTTTCATGATGTAGATACCATGTTTGTAATTCGAAGATATAGCAAGTACAGCCCTATATGTACCCTTGATCAAAACCGTGCGTTGTATCGTTTTATTATTTTCACACACATTATGAATATTTTTCACGCTTCTTAACCTCAACCCTCGTTGCCCCAACCTGTAGCATTCACGAACCAAGTATACTGCAATTCATTATTCAATCCTAGGTATTCGCTGTGCTTTTCTTCAAGTCCTCAACGCGATTCAGGTATTCTCAGCTCTCGACTTTGCAACTCCCAAACCCCTCGCTTATCATTCATTCATCAACCTCTCAATCCGACCCCCTTTCCCCCTTCTCTACTTCCCACCATCTTCCTCCCCAGCAAGCAAACTCTTAACCTTGGTAACCTTCTCCGCAAAATGCTGTTCCTTGTCTGTCCGCGTACCGGCTCTAATATCAGTCTGAACACGCAAAACACCGTTCTGATGGACGAGCGTGTGGGCTTGACCTATCAGGCGCATTACTTCGTCCCAGGTACCTTCTATGTGAGGGGTGAGTGGTTAGTATTATATTTGATTGTTTATGAATCAGAAGTGTGATTTCTTCTACTATGATCTCTCTCTATATAGTATAATTCCACTCGAGCTTGCGCTTGCAAGACTTCCATAACCAGAAAGCTCCATTTCATGAAACCTTTCAAACCACCCCTTCATCACAATGATTCCGTCTCGAAACTCCGGCATCCCGAGATCGAAACCCTTTACAAGTTGCAAGCATCTAAGAAGAAATTACATACCAACAGTCGTACCAGCAGAATGCATACTATAACTCAACCCACTAGCTTTCATCAATCGCTGAACAGCAGCTACTTCTTTCGATACCGATGCGGTGGGTGTACCGATCTATGGTGTGTTAGCTGGGTGGCTGGATAAGAGAGAGGGAATAAGAAAAGAAAAGAAGAGAAGAGAAGGAAAAAATTGAAAGGGGACATGCGGGAATCAAACAAAAATCCGCAACGGCTCTGGGAGGTGTAGGAAGATTCACATAATCGATTGCGCTGCTGTCGGAAGACGAGGAGGCCATTGTGGTTTTTGTATGTTTTATTTTGTGTGATGGAAAGGAAGCCGGTTTAGGATGTGAGATGTGATGTGATGTGATGTGGGATATTAGAAATATTTGAAGTTTTCGAAATGGATGTGAGCTTTTTTCCTGTTGGAAGGCGATACTAGACAGATGTTGAAGAACGATATCGATGTTGGGAATGCGAATTCGAAGTGAGAGATGAGCAATTGACACGTGATGCGGGGTATCTTATTTATCTTATTTTCCAAAGCGACGACCCCGCTATTCCTTCATGCTTGATTGATTCTTGAAGGATCAACAGATACAGATGGTAGAGTTTTTGTTTGGCTTTCTTCGTTTATGTATGTAGATTTATATGTGTAAATTGGAAGTTGGTGTTGCAGGCCTTTCACTCAAGGATAGATTTAAAGCGTAGGTTGGAATATTTCCTCACTGTTTGTAGAGATTTTGAAGGGTCTTTTTAGTTTAAGACATTATGGCTGATCAATTGCTCTGGGGAAGTGATATACAGAATAGTGGTATTATATATATATTATTTTATTACATCACCTTTGCAGTGAATTCTGTTTCTTTTCTCTTTGTTATTGTGTATCTATGCGTCCTTTTACTACTTCACTCTCCGTTGCTCGGCTCTCTTCTCAACTTCTCCCTCTCCTTTTAACCCCCTCCCCCTCCGCTCTCTAGCCCGTCATCTCCATCCTCCCTATCAAATTTTGAGCCAATCCTAGACCATGAAGAAAGAGGATAAATTCAGAAAGACCTAGTTAGCACTCAAATATATGCCAAATGTAATATGGCTATCGCGAGAACCCAATGAAGCATACCAATTGTGGATGAGAAACACGAGAAAGCACTGTGTAGGATCTCAACGAGAATTGTGTACTGCGCTACAATCACAGATAGCCGACTATATAAAGCGAGAAAAATTTAAGGCTTCAACAAACACGAGAACTGTGTAGATGAATATATGTATCTCAACAGTGCTATTACATCAAAACACAATATTTTCAATGTCATGACTGCCGAAAACTTAACACTGTGGTATGTCTTTAATACTTCAACATGTACGAAGTAAGAGAGAAGATCAGGAATATAACGAATCGACATTAGCCCATAAAAGATATTTCGTCGTCCAAATCGCACGTGATAAGGGGTAAAGTTTATTTCACTTGAAATGACAGTTGTTGGTGGACGATCCCAACCTTACATCATGGCCGTCCCTACTAATAAACTCGTGCCAGGGTGAGCATACACGAGTTTCATCCATTTCTCCATTCGGCTTTCCGATGAATCATTTTCTAATCATCCAGATTCACTGCCGCTTTCAGGTAATCAGCCATCAAACAGTATCATTCGTTACTTCGTACATATTTGACATAGTACCTGTTTACCCCGCGAAAGAACAAAATTGTCGAACCTCGAACAATCTGGAGGAGAAGCATCGAGCGGATGTTGTTTGATGAATTGTGGATTGCCTGGTCTGATCTTTGGTTTGAATCCGGTAGACTCGGCATAGAGTGGAGAAGATGGGAAATTCTCTAATCTCTTACAGATTTCGATGTGGTTAACATATATGGGCGAGGCAGACTCGTAGAGCTTTCATCTGGAAGGTCTGATATCGTATACTTTCGTACAGCCAAAGATTATTAATATTTGATACTGGTACATTGATTTTTGTCCATGGTGTTATTAGTCTCCTGTCTGCTTACCTACTATACTAGACTAGATCTTTTCGGGGAAAGGGGTATTCCCGGTGGCTAGAACTTGCATATGGTTGGCATAAGATCAACATCTTCAGCCTTCTTCAACTACAACTTCACCCACTTGATATCTTTGGCAGGTGGGCTGGTGGCAGGTCCAGCTCAAGGGCCAGCTGCAACCTTTGAAGATCATTCTCCATTGTTGCGTGATAGAGAAAGCTCACATTGGTCAATTTAATCAGTTGTCCTCGTTATCTTCCGCGACGCCGACTGTAGCGATTACACTTTTTTGGGTCAATGCATTGACTTCTCGACGCCTCAATTGAGGATAAAAATAGAAACGGCTCTAGGAAGATTTTCGTATCTTTCCAGCCAATTTTTTTTTTGACATGCAAAGATCCTCGCTCTCTCACCAACCTCAAACGTCATTATAAACGATTGGACTTGAACAAGCATCACCCGGTGTGACATCCTATACCATCCTCAAACCGGGACTTTTCCATCGTTTCATGCAGATCTAGAAGTATTGATTGGAAGTTCTCCTTTCTAATTCTTACTCAAATACGGATGAGGCCCACTTTTCCAAGACTCGTAATGTTGTTGGCTTACGGCAATCTCAAGAGAATTAATTGAAAGAGGCAACGAGGCGCAGTAGAACGAGGCGAGTCGTAACGTATTCCCTAGTTTTCATATATGGGTAATCTATTTACTTTGATCAAAAGTTCTCCATACCTTTGAAGCCTCTTTCACTTTTATTTTTGGGTGTTTGAATTTTCTCATATATCTGTTGTTGAGCACTTGTGGTGTTTTCTTTGTCATATTTCTTCAAAAGCAACACGTTTTATAGCCTTACCACTCTTTCGAACGAAGGATCTTTATCTCATTCTCGTGGAAATTCTTTACTACATTCAATATGCGGTCATTTGCATTTGCCGCAGCGGCAATTCTCTCTTTGGTTAGCTCTTCGCAGGCCATGCCTCAAAATGGTGGTGGAGGATATGGAGGATTCGGAGGTCAAGAATCATCATCGTCGTCGATATCTGTTGCAGTTGCAACATCAGCTACATCATCAGCTAGTTCCGTATCAGTCGCTAAAGCAGTATCAACAAGCACGACTGCCTGTAATAACTCACCAGAACTATGTAGTCGAAACTACAATAACATAACACATATGGGTGCTCACGACGTTGCATTCCTTCGAGACTCCACGACTGGGTATTCAACATCAGGGAATCAATTTTACAACGCTACTGTTGCTCTATCCGCCGGTATTAGGTTGCTCCAAGCACAGGTTCATAACTCGAACGGAACTTTAGAACTATGTCACACATCTTGTTTACTCCTTGATGGTGGTAGTCTTGAAACGTTTCTCAAAGAAATCAAAACATGGATGGATGCCAATACTAACGAAGTTGTCACTCTGCTCCTTGTTAACTCCGACGATGAATCAGCCGCTACCTTCGGATCCGTCTTTTCATCTTCCGGTATCGATACTTACGGCTATACTCCTACTTCTACCACTGCACCAATCGCTACTTGGCCAACCCTTCAAACCCTCATCACTGCTAATACGAGATTGATTACTTTCATTGCAAGCATTGACTATGATTCCACATATCCATATCTCCTTCCAGAATTTACATACGTATTCGAAACCTACTTTGGGGTTCTGTCTCTAGATGCCTTCAATTGTACTCTCCAACGTCCTAGCAGCGTCGATTCTGCCTCTGCCGCTGTCTCATCTAATTACATGGGTCTCATCAATCATTTCGCCGATACAGCTCAATCATTTGGTATCACAATCCCAGATGTAAGCAATATCACTACAACAAACTCCGCCGCTACCAACACAACAGGTGCACTGGGAACTCAGGCAAAGCAGTGCAAGAGCGAGTGGGGCGTCAAACCAACTTTTATCCTGGTAGATTTCTTCAACGTAGGACCTAGTATCGACACCGCGGATATCATGAATGGAATTTATGGGAAAACTACGGGAAGGACAAACGTTAGTACGAGTGTTTTAACCGCCAGTAGTGATTCCAGTAGTGATTCCAAAAGCGGTGCCAGCTCTCTAGGTTTGGGAATGTGGAAGAATTGGGAATGGATGTGGGCTATGATTGGAGTGGTCGCAGTTGGGAACTTGGTCTGGTTATAGACGATGTGGAGGGAATACTCTTCTCATTCTTCATCGGGGGATATTTTTTGTTTATGGAACTATGATTGAAGATTTGCTTTTACATTTACATAGCGATGGCGTTTCGGAAATTGGGCTTGGGAGGCAGAACTGCACCCGGATGATGCTGGTTTCGGAAAAAAGACCCATCTAGATAGACTTCACGTCACTTCAATTGAAGATATGAGCCATTGAGTTGCACGTTTGCATGCACACAATACTCTGGCAAGAATTACATTTATTTCACAAATAGTCATGATATCCTTATAAAGTCAAGTATTTGATTGACTCAACGTGACTTAAAATATCTATTTTTCTCTTCTGAATATCAAACACCCAGCCTCTTGTCCGTATCCCTCTTCGGATTTTCTGAAAAATAGTTCGTCTTAAAATGGTGGAAGCCCAACCAATCATTGATCTCTAATCCGACCCACTTAAAACTGGCGACATCAAATGTGAACCTTTACTTCATGCACGCCCTACAATTGACATCACGACAACTAGCTTTCCACATTCATTGACTTCCTTCCTCAATTCCTCTGGTTCGATCAAAATTCCTGCTACTATAGGTAGGTCTTGATTGACTATTCTCCCCGGATCTACAGATCCAGCAACAATGACCAGGATGCAATTGGACATCTGACTTGCCGATGTGCTTACGATTAGATATCGTTCACTAAAGCTAAGAGACGCTTTCCCCATTCTCTCGATGTCACGTTTCGATCTCGCATATTCTAGGATATATGCGGATTATCATATGTGGAAGTCAAATCCTCATTATCACTAGATAGCAATCACAAGCAATCTATGAGTCATTTCATAATGTCTATAAGTAGTTAAGGTGAGATAGAGTATGATAGTATAGTTAAGTCTTGAATTCTTCTCCAATTGCTATTCTTGTTATTCTCCTTCTTTTCTATTGTCCCTTCATAGTACACAAAAATGGCCATACCACCCACCACACCCTCCTCACCATCCCCCAAATTCGCAAAAGTCGGCCTCATTCCTTGGGATCCAGACTCTCCGTCCCACGTCGAGAGATTATTCAACCAACGAGTAGTCTGTACCTGGAACTCAGAATACGTAGAATCATGGCGAGAAAAACAGAGACAGGGCGCTATTACCCTTCAATGGATCGTACGTATCTCTATTCCAATTATCCAACAAATCTGACGTGCGCTACAGGTCCTACCAATTACTACCGTCTCTCGCGATGATCTTCATAAGCTCCACACAACGCAATTCCCCTTGGAATCAGAACCATTAATCGATTCAGCAACAACATTCAACGCACTCCCTCGTACCCCACCCTCACCACCCCACTCCTTCCTCCCCATCGGCCACATAGCCCTCGAAGTTCAGCCATCCTCCCCCATCTCCTCCTCTCCCCCCTCCACCTATAAAATATCTGGTCTCTACATTTCCGGCGCCATGCGCAGCTTAGGTCTAGGTCGCGCAACCATGGATACAATCGAAGCACTTGCCTCTTCGCCCCCGATTTCTGCGAGGAAATTACTACTAGAAGTTATAGCGAATGAATATCCAGGGAAGGAAGAACGGAATGTTGCGCTGAAAATAGAGAAGCAGCCGGTGGAGAGACAGGATTGGTATGCTAGGAGGGGGTATAGGATTGTGGGGATGAAGGATGGGATGTGGCCTGAAAAAGATGAGGAGGGGAGGGTGTGGACGGCTAGGTGTTTGTTTATGGAAAGGGTTGTGGGGTAGATGGAAGGGAAGTTATTGTGTTTAGGGAGTTTAGAGGCAGTGGGGTACGGACAATACAGTTAAAGAGACTGGCATAGAAAAGAAGACGGGCGAGATTGTCGCAAGATGCGGCACGCGACTCGCTAAAGCTTCCTGAAATCTTACAAAAATAGTTTTGAAAACTTATAACCAAGTATACAGGAGCTAAACAATCTATACCTTCTCTTCTGTTGCACATCTGAAATTCTGTCGCGGTGGAAGATTGGTAGTCAGTAGGCACTTTGGTTTGGTTTTGTTGCATATCTAACCGCGACGGGGAATTGGCTACATCTATCCCCCCGGTGGTATTTCGCTGGTCCCCGAGATTCCCGTGGCGGGACTTTTAGATCACGCTATATTGCATGTCCAAAACCTTTTATCGCAGAATTAGGTTGGGCTATTTCTTGACCTTCTGTTGCATATCTAAGTCTTCTACCGCTGTGGAGCATAGTTTGTTCTTTTGGACTTTTGTTTCGTGTCCCCTCTAATCTCGTTGTAGAATTGCAGAATCTGTTGATCTCCGGGGATTTTCGTCGCGATGGAGGTTAAAGTCTACTAGTTCTCTGTCGTAGTAAGGTAGATCAGAACCAGGATTGAGTACGATCCGCTGTGGTGGGAAGTGGGTGGCTTAGGTTTGGACTTTTGTTGCATATCTGATTCCATTCCATTTCATGGTGGAATCTTGATTCCTTTGGGGATTCGGGTTGCATATCTAACACTTTTCTACGACGGGACGAGGGGTAATTGTATATCTCCTTCTCATTCTTTTGGGGTATCCGAAAGGATTGGTTCTGTTGCACATCTGAGATTCTTCCATGACGGTAAACGGGGGCTTGTGAGCTTCTTTTGTACGGTCTTCGAATATGGATGCTCGGTTGTTGCATATCTGGATTTCCTACGATTATAATAAGGGTTACTTACCTATATGTCTAGTTTCCACCGTGTAGAGCCTGTCACTTTAAAATTCATAGATCGATCCACATCTGCAACTCTCTGTGTTGGGGTATGTGCTACTTCTGGACTTTTGTTGCATATCTGATTCCATTCCATTCCATGGTGGAATATTGATCATTTTGGGATTCGGGTTGCATATCTGATGCCGTTCCATGGTGGGACTAGAAAGTGCTTCAATATAGACCTAGGTCTCGAATAGACGGTTTGTTGCACATCTGAAGATTCTCCGCGACGGAATAGGAGATTCTTCTTCAATCTTGGGAATCTTGTTGTGTATCAATCAATATGTTGCCGTGTGGAACTGGTCCCTAGATGTAGATGTTGTATGATGTGTCAGAGAATCTCCAATATCCCATGGTGGAATATAAGGTTCTAAATTAGCACGATTCTGTCGCATATCTCGTTGTTTGCCGTGGTGGAATTGGAAATAACATAATCGATTTTCACATTAAGAATTGGAAAATTTATGCAATATCCAGCTATCGTTGCATGTCTAAAACTGTACCATGGCGGAACGGAACTCATCACATCGAGACCAGTTCCTGAATATCTGGCGATTTGTTGCACATCTGAAACTCGAATATGGCGGGATGTCATATTGCACTTCTATGTCATATATCCTTTTTTACCACGATGAGACTGAACACTGCTGGATCCGATGAATCAAGATCAGACTTTGAAGTTCCGGTATATATGATAGCCTGCTCCGGTGGAATTAATATATACGGCTTTTGTTGCACATCTAATATTGCCACGGTGGAACCGAAACCTACTTGATCTAAATGTAGATATGGGGGAGTGGGAACGGAGAAGGGGAGGATAATTCTATATATTATATTGGGATTTTCGTTGCACATCTTGCTACGTCACTATATCCACCTCATACCTCTATTATAGGACTAGGAACAAATTCCCAGGACCTAACGGGTATTTGTTGCACATCTACCATCCCCCGTGGCGGGAAATAGTACTTATCATAGCTCTCAAGCTCTACCGTATCTTGCATTTAGCTCTTTTGTTGCACGTCTGCAATCCCCGGTGGCGGGATTCCAGCTGCTCAGACCTGTAGTCCAAACCCTCAAAATCCTGTTGCACATCTAACATCCCCCGTGGCGGGATACCACCCCTATTTTTAGCTCTTAAACATTCCTCTCCCTTGTATTCAACTCTTTTGTTGCACGTCTCTTCGCCGCCATGGGTGGTATTAGACCTAGCAGACCAGTGCCAACAACTTCGAAATTCTATTTCGTATCTGAGACCTTGCCACGGTGTATAAACACATGTTGTAAAGGTACTTCACTCTATTGAGTTTATTGCATATCTAGCTCTCACCATCACATCACAAACTACCAAAAGCGAAATTTAGACCGAGGTACTGTACTCAGGTTGTTAGTGTTTGATCCAAACCTGTGTGTGTTTTATTGTAGCGGTGAGATGTCCTCGTGGCGGAGCATGCGATACCTAACCGATCATTAGCATAATTTTTTGTTGCATATCTTATTCCATGCCATGACAGGGCCCAATGTTTCTAATTAAATTTTCAGTTCTTTTGTTGCATGTCGATAGATCTCGTGGCAATTATTAGAGGTTGGGTTGCAGGATTTGTTGCATGTCTGATCTGATATTACTTCTCGCCATGGTTTGCAGATCGGCAAAGTTAATGTAAGATTTCCTTGTCTCGGACGATTTGATCAATGTGATTGGATTTGCGAACAAATTCAAAGCCTCTCTCTCATATATAGAAATCATTTAATGAATTCGAAGTCTCGGGGTATCTTTATCATTAATCGTTTGAAGCATACAGTATAAATACATTCCAATTTCCAAACACCTCGCTAACCCATCCATCCAAATCCTCAATCCAAATCCAAGTGCGAGAGTACGCTATGGAACATACTCTCTATCCTAAAGTAACCTACAAACCTAAACCTGATAATGCGGAGCCTCAAGCTAGGCCATAGAACGCCCTTCCAAATAATGTGATGCACCAAAATAAACACTTTTCCATCTTTCTTTTCCATTCCTTTCCTTCCCCTTCCATTTACATAACTCCAGGTCATTGCTCGTAAAATTCATACAATCGTAATTTTCCCTTCTTTTGATTTTGTCCTCCTACCCATGGCCCACCTACTCATCTCCCACAATCTTCTTTCCACATCGCTGAATAATTCACATGTCGGAAGATCAACAAAAACTTGTCAAACTCTCCGGATCCACTTGATCCAATTTTCCTCTTCGTCCACCTAGAATTCGTAGATCACCACTGTTCATCCAGGGAGTGATACCATTTCCAGGGGTGCCCCGACCAACGGTGTGATGTTTTTGAGGGGTGTTGGGGAAGATCAGGGTGGAGAGAATTTTGTAGGAGGGAGGCTGGACGCTGGGAAAGGTGTTAATGCTGATCTTAATGGGAGTGAGAGAGAAATGATTTGTATGACTTACCTTGAGGATGAGGTTGAGGGGGATGGTTTTGAGGATCCTACTTTATATGCTGACGAGGAAGACGACGGCGTGGATGGATATGAGGGTGAAATTGATGATTTCGCCATGGTGTATTTAATGATTTTGATTAAGCCTTATTTCTTTATTTACTTGAGTGTTTGAATCCAATAAGAATAATTGAACAAATCAATATGAGAGAGACGCTTCTAGATGAAAAGGTATTTGATGAGAAGCAACGTTGGATTTAATTAGACGACGAATTGATTCGAGATATAAGAATTGACAAGTATGCTGAGATCTGCTCTGGGTATGATATCACAATACAGTATCAAAAACTTTCAGGAGATATCAGAGTGTGTGGTATATATGTATGTCATAATGCAGGAGTGCCATGTAGCTTTATAGGTATTCCATTGGTTGCACAACCGGAACTAACCGTGCCTCTTTAGGTGGCAAATCTTGCCCTGAAAGGTAGAATTGGGCACAATGTCCTTGCATCTTAGTGAACTTTCTGTTCTTTCCTCGGGCTTAACCACTTGGACTTGGATGATGTGAGAATAGAATTCAGGGGCTAACGCCAACACTCCAAACAGAACGTGCGAGGAGGACATTTCAGCTGCGCGTTGTGAAATGTTCTTGACACGTGTATCGGTGTAATGATATAACGAGTGTGCTATCATTGGCATGACAATTATATTCCGGAGGTATGATTTAGTAAAGAGTACCTGTGATACCCAGTGTGACTAGAGAATGATTCTTAGCAAGAGAATAGAGAGTGAAAAGCGAGCGAATGCAGACCTTGTTACGTAATGTGCTGATGAAACGATGTGGATGTGACCAGCACTCCTCACTGCTGTTTAGCAATTGAAACACTCGTTGATCATGGGAATGTGCATACCAAACCTTTGATTTTGACGGTTGGCTATGGTATTGGGTCGTCACACATAAGGCGTCCTCGTCCTTCCTGTAGGTCCTTGCTGTACCTTTAGCTGCCCCACCCTTAATCACCCTTCGTGCATACAACAGCACATGGGATGTTATCGTATCATGGTATATTCTAGGAAGATCCTCGAACCCCCAGGCAAAATCAGCCAGTAATCGAATGCATTGCCAATACCGAGAAATACCGACCATGATACCCTCAATCGATTCTTCCGCGCCCGATTTGGTTCCCCCAGTACATTGAGGGGCATGTGTTCCGATCTTGTTGGGCAAGCACGTAATTGGTACCACACCCTCAGTCATGCTCTCCGTATTTCCTCTTGTAGTCGCATAGACCCATGCTATCGATACGGAGTACACATGAAACGACCTAGTAAAAGCATTCATTCTAGCCTTCGAAGTCGCGAAAACACAACATTCACTTCAACATGTGATGAGAACGTGGCATGAATCGATTCATTTTCCCATTACCATCCGGTACGTAACTCCATAGCCTCAATATCCGGAACATGTATGCGGGACAACGGAAGGAAAAATCACGTTCCAGAAGCCGTGGTTCCGTCGTGATACATTATCTGTACCCCACGCGGGGAATATGGGTCCGTTGAAGCGTTATATGTCAAGTCGAATTTATGATACCTGGATCTCGTGTGCAGATTGATTCCATTATAGTCATGATTTTCGTGATCGGACGATATGGACATGGAAGAAGATATAACGGGGAAGATCGGGACGGGTTCCTAGGCTTTTTTTGGACAATAGTTTTGGTCTCCGTAGTTGTTGTAAAATGGGGTTGATCATAGTTGCGCATGTAATGGTATAGAGAAAACGAAAGGAAAAGACGTAAGTTTTGAGATCATACGATATGTTCTTCTCATGTCTCTGCTGCATTGTATTCGTGCTTGAAGCGAGTACCAATTGGTGGGCTCAAGAATTTGGATTAATGTCATTGAGTCTATTACTCACATCGATCCAAATATCACTTCGAGAGGATTACTGATTGCTTGTTTTGGGATGTTCATTGCAGCTTCTGAATAAAGCTGAAGATATAATGCGATAATTTCCCTATTCTCAGCCTCATTCCCATATCCTTTCATCTTCAGTCCTCATAAATCACTGAAAAGATACCTCGAGGGTATGTGATCCTACTTTATCTTTTCCGATCCAATCCGATGTATATTCATCCATCCATACCCATGTCTATATTCCAATTCGTCCCATTCATCCCATTCGGCATGAATTCGTCTCAACATTACCATAATAAAATTCTGACGTATAAACCACAGCCCAAAACTGTCGCTCCCAATTTATACATCCCTTTCCTTTCCCGTTACCCAACCGAATCACAGCTCCATATATATTGTACAACCTTTTGGTACAATCCCTCTCCTTTCCCACCATTCCATAACTCCATATATATCAAACCCAACCTATGAACTATTCCCTCTACATTCCCCTTTCGCATAATTATAATCAAACGCCTGTAAAATTCCCACCAAATGCAACACCATGGCCAACACAACCAGCAGATGAAATATTTGATGGGAATTACCCAAAAAATCAAAACTACCTGGAATCCACGATTCTGGCCATCGTTTCTGTTTTTCTATTAGTCTTCGCAACTTGCACCTCCAAGACAGGAAAGGTGAAAACATACAGCAAAACAAACAACCCCGACCAAAAGTAGTAATGCTTCTGCAAAGTAATATGGCATGCCCGATTGCTCCATCGCCTTGTCCCATCCAGACTGCGCTATTGCATGAGCGAAAGGAATGAGAACAGAAACAGCTGTTACACAGAAAGCTACTACACGAAAAGAACGCCATCGATGACCTTGAAAAGCTGGTAAGAGGAGAAAAACTAATGCCATGCTTGACATTGCTAGAATCTATCCATTATATAAGTAAAGAGAAATGAAAAAGGAAAGAGACAGCTTACCATTCCACAATAAGCATATTGTAAAGTTTGTTGACAAAAGAAAGATATATATACAGCTGAAATGAAGCATCCAATGATGAGAAAGACAATCCCCACATAATCGAGTTTTAACCATAGATCGCGGCCTTTTTGAGAATGTGAAATAAGGGAGTGGAAAATTGCCGAGATACCTAGACATATCGTTGCGCAAAGAATGAAAAATGAGAAGATGACACGATCCCCTACGGTAGCATTAGGGTAGCGCGTATTGAGATAATACATAATAATTCCTTCGAGAATAATGAATAAGATACAAGGAATGAAATGAGACCATATATTGAAAGTTTCATTATGGATTTGGAAACAGGAGTGTAAACAGGTGGAAGTAGAATAAGATATTTGTCGATATCCGGAGTGGATATGGGGATTATCCTGACTCCATTCTGGAAGTTTGTCAAATGTTATGAGATCTTGCTGTCCTTGTATTGTTGATGAAGAGGCAGATGATGGATATTTGAATTTTTGATGTACTGGACTCGGTGGGGGCGTGGGGTCCAACAGAAATGTTCGTTGTAGAACGGGATAGGGTATGGCAACTCCATTTCCGGATATAGGAGTGAAAGCATCATCGATAAATGTTGGGGAATCCGTCCTACCATGACCAACGGTAGAGTATGAAAGATGTGAAAATTTGGACTCAGTATAGACCATGTTATCACTCTAAGAAAACGCTCAAACCTAAAATGAAAAGGGTAAAGAAAGATTAAAAACTGGAAACTCCATACAAGTAAGGTATGGATAAGAAGAACATTGGCTAAATCAAAGGATGTAACAGAGAAAAAAGCATCAAACATATTCCAAAAATTGGCTGAGTCTTTCTAGATATCACCTACCAACTCGAGATAACCCCTCCATGGAGATCGGCTAAGCGCTTCACTGCGGTTTGGCGCACACTTATAGGCTTTATAGCCAATAATAGAGTAAACAGAGTGGGATATCCCACCAAAAATCAGAACGATTATAGGCGCAGCAGTGTCTGCACGTCAGACTTGGCGTACATCTCTAAAATCAAGTTGAAGAACCACCATAAACGACAGGCTAAATAATTCGTGCAGAATCATGTAGAGGAACGGACCGTAAGGCTTACTACCTTACCAATGATAAACTGTGAAATTTATTTGGCTTGATTACCAAACCAAGAAAGAACTACTTTAAGGCTATGACACAGTAATGTACAATGGTTACATTTTCAAATCAATAGTTTGAAGGAGAAAATAGATTCCGTACATTTGGTGGGGGTTCCTTTGGTTGATGAATCGGTGATATCAAGGCCAAGGGCCAACAAGCGACCATGAATGCGACCGTGATAAGAAGGCTTTGGCTTCGCGTATATCTGATGTGTATATTGTAGAAAAGTGGAATTGTTGATAACATAGAAATAACTAGATAGATATCTGAATTGTTATCGTGCCTACCGGGAGAGTGCTCGTAAATCCAATGAGATAAATGGGTAGCCTATTTGCTTACATGATCTGCAAGGCGGGAAGGAAGGCATTCGCGAAAGGATTCAATTCTCAATCCTTGGGTTTTCGGGATTGCTGAATACCCCTTGAGTTGCGTTACAAGAATAATGATGATTGGAAAATGGCTCTTTCGTGGTATAAAATAGAGTGAGTAAGAAACGATGATGATGGGGGAAATTGTGGCTGACTGGGTTGAGATTCTGCCGGATTAATATAAGTCCAGGTCCGATCATCTCTAGTTTTAGCTCTACCAGCCGGTACTTCAGCCATCCATCCATTCGAGCTAGCACTGCCACAACATATGGTTCGTAGGTTACCCGCAAATCTCAGAGTATTGTGATTTCTTGCACCATACCTACATTTGTTCTGTTCGACTACTTACAAACTCGTCACAAAATGGTATTTGGCTATGTGATGTTTATAACCGTCAATGTTATACATCTACATCATGTTGTTAAACATAACCTCTCTTGTACAATTAATTGTGATGTATATCGTGAGAGCATTGTCGGTATAATAATAAGTCTCTTTCAGAGGCTTGTTTACCATAGCAATATCCTTTCAACTCTCTACACCAAGACAATCTTCGTTAACCGTTATACACTCGAACAACGGACACTAATAGTCAATTTCCAGTGCACCAGTTAAGGTCATTGCTAATCTTAACCAAAACTCATTCGAGCGAATCAACTTCGTTTACCACACGAGAGCTTCCACCATAAGATGTGAATCTGTTAATGGATTCAAGATCTTCTATATTTGGGAAGTCCGAGTGGGCTTTGATATATCGAGTACTGTATATAGTCGTGATATCGACATGAGATTCAGCTGAGTACTTGCCCAGACCGGTAACCATGTATTTTGGACGACGATGCGGAATTCTCAAGAACTTTACCTGAAAAGTCCATGCAAACTCTTCCAGCATGGCAACGATGAGTTTTTCAATCGCGAATATATGATTTTGACACGATCACAACTATCTGATGCTGCACGGCCATGATCTGTTTGGTTGCCTTGTCTTTTACGTGAACACGAGGTATTACTCATACGCTAGACGGCCCGGACCACCAGTATCGTCGTGGAAGTGGAACAGGAAACAGGAACCAGTGGGAACACAGCAAAATTCATGTTGTGGAATCTTCATGTTGTACGGAAGCTCCCTGCAGAACGAGCCCAGTTAAACAAGGCGAGGCTTCTTATGATTGTCAACTTTATTCACAAAACGAGAGTATACAATTGTCCAATATCAAGTCGAACAATCAACACTTACCTTTCATGAATTTCAGATGTCACTCAACCTTTAATGGCTCCAGACCGTTGTCGTCATTAAGAACCGAATGGCAATACATTCATTAACCAATCTTACCTCCTCTATATAGGTATCTATCAATGAGACGATGCTACTGCAGTACTTGCTCGTAATTCTACCTACCACTGATCATGATCGGATATCATCGAAGGATTCGGGGCCATTGATGATACCCCACGTAAATCTACGGCTGAGCGATGTAGCAGAGATCCCAGGCATTTATCCACTAATCTGCCTCGCGAGACCAGCTTGGACCAATCAAATATTGTAAAAACCACCTAGGGCTACTAGTTGCATACAAAGAGCCGCCACATTCACGTATGTACCGATAATGAAAATGATCATCCTTTGCCTGGACAACACGGTGAGTCAAAGAATTCAATGCGGGCGGGGAGGACAAGACATTGGATAGGCAATGTATTGCTATCTCCAACGAATGGGAGAAGGCTGGTGTGGTGCTCATCTGCGGGCTGACTGCTGCGGCGAGTGCTGCCTGTGTAAACACCACTTGTACTCCACAAATTTCACCAAATTTCACCAAACCTACTATCCGCTCATCTGCTTGAACTGTCCAGCTTTTAATATTTATATACTCCTCAGTGTAATCCATCTCAATCTTCATATCCTTTCTCATCCTTCCTCATCTTCCTCGTTTTTCTTCTATCTTCATAATACCTAATCACACACTTCTCACTTCTCCACAATATCCTCAATCATGCATTCCAACGAGATCCCAAGTAAAGATGGCGAGAAATATGTAGTTGTCAAGGTCGAGAAGGATGCTACCACTTCCACCCAAGCATCAAGCGATGCAGGCAAGGACGAAGATATCAAATGCCCAGAGATCTTGTACAAAGTCCAGTATAAGGATGTAGGTGGTGAAATCAAGGGAACAAAGGAGTTGGCAGCACCATATAAGTTGAAGAAAACAACGTATGTTAATCCACTGTTGGCTCTCCCTCCAGATACTAACATTTTCAAGATATCGTGATTCAGAAATACCTATTCTAGAAGTCTTATACAGTGTTACCATTTGGTTCCCTACCATCTATGGCAAGAAAAAGAATAAGAAGGACAAAGAGGATGAAAATGTGATATCATCAGAGATGAAAGACGAAAATGACTTCGACGAACGATCTATGGAAGAGAAAGAACTCATTATTCATTCTCCACACATCATGAAAGCCTTAAGATCCATTGTTGAATACTATCCCGGACAATCTTTACTCGGTGACACTATCTCAATCAAGGAACCTTATGGAATCCTTGTTCATTACCGAAAAGAACTTCAAGAATACAAAGAGAATTGTGACGATGCGGAAGCCAGTCATCATATCAGCGTCCTTCAGAAGTATCTTGAGGATAACTTTGAAGAAAAGTTGAAGTTGGAGGATGACCGACATGCTAGAGCTAATCCAGTAGTAACGTTTGAGATGTTATGGATGCTGTTTAAGCCAGGAATGGATGTCTACGCTCAATTCGACGAGCAACGTGCTGGTTTCGTTCTCCAGGGGTGTGAAAATTCCACAGAAAATACCAGACCAGGACAGCCATCACCTCTCAAAGTCAAGATGTGGTATCTAGATTTCGATGGTCGATTCGTTGGACGTCGATCTCATGAGGTCACCATCGCGCCGTTTGAAGGCGAGCGCGAAGTCACATCGTTAAAGGTCATTCCTGCCCATTACATCGATAGCAATCCTACCCTATCTCCACGAAAACAACTCGAAGATCGTGGAGAGAAATTCTACAGTATGTTGATGGGTAAACAAATGGACTACAGAGGTTTCAGTATGCCCGTTGAACAAAAGCCAAAGCGTTTCCACGAGGGTCGAGTCGTGGTTGATCAAAGCGCTTTCTATACATACGCCGATTGGCAAGAAACACAGAAACATCCAGCTCCAGTCCTCGGTATCGATGATGACGATTCTGGTATTCTTGCAGATTTGCACTATAACTGCAATTGTTCAGACTGTAATTCTAAACGACTAGCTGCATCGGCCAATACAAGATGGGGCAAGTACGAAAATATCGAACCTCGCGAAACACCTTCGCTTGCCGAAACCGATGCAAATGGAGTTGTTTCCCGACACAAGTACTTTCTCTGTCCTCGTCGTATCATGGGTTTCGATCTCAAGTCTAAGAAATGGCAAGCTCTCGACGTCGATTGTTGTCAACCTCCTAAATTCTACACTTCGGCTATTGAGAATCTAGTCCTACCAAACGAAAAACAGGAAATGATCAAAGCCCTCGTTCACAAATACACATCCTCCAAGAAAGCTGGCAGAAGCGAAACAACCTGGTCAGCCGATCCTATCCCCAACAAAGGCGAAGGACAAATCTTCTTATTGCACGGTCCTCCCGGTGCTGGTAAAACCTACACCGCAGAATGTGTAGCCGAATTCACATCAAGACCCCTCCTTTCACTCACTTGTGGTGATATCGGAACCGATGAATTCCGCGTCGAAGAATCCCTCAGCAAATGGTTTAAATTGGCCGAAATATGGGGTGCCGTCATGTTAATCGACGAAGCTGATGTGTATCTCGAGCGTCGTGAAGTTTCCGAACTCACACGTAACGGACTCGTATCTGTCTTTTTACGAGCGATGGAATACTACAGAGGTATTCTCTTCCTCACCACCAATCGCGTGGGCCACTTTGATCCAGCTTTCTTCTCCCGCATCCACGTGTACATTGGATACCGCCCTCTAGACTGCGAAGGCCGGAAGAGAATCTGGCTTCAATTTTTCACCAAGCTAGGATTAGAACGCGGACATGAAATCACCATCATGAGTGCTGCGAAGCGCTACATCCTCTCCGATGAGGTACTCAAAGATATTGATTGGAATGGTCGTGAGATTCGCAATGCGTTCCAAACCGCGGTTGCACTAGCCGAATATGAAGCCGAGACAAAGAAGGGACCAAACGAGGATGGAAAAGTGGAAGTAGAATTGAGACGGGATCACTTCGAGAAGGTGGTAGAAATGAGTGATAATTTTAAAAAGTATCTGGCGACGGTGGGAAGTGACGAGGTGGCTGGTCAGAGCGAGATGACCAAGGCAAAGCTTAATGGAGATAGAGGTGATGATGCGCTTTTGTAAGCAAGGAAATCAAGGAGTTGAGGACTTTTGCTAGGTATATACCAGCGTTTATTACAATCTAAAATAGATTGAATATCTCATTTTGCTTAAATTTTCAAATCTTGTGAATGGATCATGTAAGATTTCCAAATCACATAGATCTACCAACGCTTCTGAGAATTGGATCTCAAATTCACACACGTCTGAAAATTCGATTGAAATTCTCAGTCTTCGATCTTAGCTGTGTAAAGACACAATCTCTTCTCATTCATAAAGCAAACGATCGTAACATGAGATAGGAGGCACAGTATCCTACCCGCGATGAAGTGCAGGGCAGAGGAAAAGTTTCCATCGCATTTGCGCCTGGTACTAAGTGATATGGAACTCACCCTAGGAAATAATACAAAGAAATAACATACCGAAAGAAAGTATTAGCCTCAGTTATTCAAGCCATACAGTGTTGATATCAGACTATTGTGGAGATAGATACCCACGTATAGACACAAAACTCACAATGCGACCTCAACACATCCAAATCATTTTGGAAACTCGACTTTGCAATTTGAATGCTGTAGAGCATAGCGACCAGAGTGATGTCTAATAAATTGGCACAATGCTATGAATTAGGATATTGATACGGATCGACAATATCCATACTCTAACTTGTGTCCTCAAAGTGCCCCGTCACATGATTAAAAGAGTATTCGTCAAAAGGGTCTAGTGGGCCGCTTTCTAAAGGTGAGGTTCTTTTGCTGGGCTGAGGATTTTTAGGTAGGTATATATGGATAGGTAGCCTTCTCAGCTTTCAACTTTCAACTTTCGATTTTTATTGATTTCCCCAATCTTCTTTAGTCTTAGTCTCCTTCGCTTCCTCAACTTCCTTAGCTTCTTCAACTTCTTCAACCTCTTAATTCTTCCAACTGTCCCAACTCCTCTCAACAAAGTGTGCGACAATAACAACTTCCTAGTAATAGGTATAACACCAATCAGGCCCATTAATCAAGCCAACTCTAGCTTGCGTTCACGGTATGTGGTATCCTTCCCAAAAAACGTTGATTCCTTTTTTGGTTGTTGGGAACTAACGATCTTTAGAATTCTGCTTTGAAAAACGTTCTTACAACTCCTCACCACAATGTCCAACCATATCTTATGGTAGTAACCATAGATATTTCTTATAATCAAGCCAATTCTAGCTTGTGTTTAAGGTATGTGGTATCTTTCTCAAAAAAACGTTGATCCTTTTTTTGGTTGTTACGAAACTAACGATCTTTAGAATTTTCGTCCGATCTATCGAGATCTATCTCCGAGTAACAGGTATATCACCAATCACGCAAAGCCATTCTCAAGGTATGCAATCTCTTTCTCAAAAAAACGTTAACTCTTTTTTTGGTTGTTGCGAAACTGACGATCCTTAGAATTCTATTTCGAAATACCATCATGGGCGATCGAGCGTTGGACGAGTATGGACTCCCTGACGATGTAAGTAAGGCTTATATTATGCCATATCTTCTAAGGCAACATTAGTACTATAACTAATAATTGAATAGGATGCCCTTGCGAGGCGGGAAGCTCTTATGGAAAGATTGCGGTCCCCACCACAGGAAGCTGGCGCACCAAAAGCAAAGAAACGTTTGAGCATTTCACAAGACGATTTGGCGCCATCGAAGAAGAAGAAGAACATTTCTATCTCCAATCCTTATACTGGTAAGCTTCCCACAGTAGTGGGAGCTAGTTCCAAAGCAAACGACAAATCGAAGATATCGGATGCTAGTGCTGCCCAAACTCCGGAACCGGAGCGGTCTCCTAGTATCTTGGAGATAGATTCCAAAGCTTTTCTTCTCTCCCAAGGCCGAAATGAAAATTCACCGCAGAGGAACCCGTCACCTACGCCACCACGAAGACATATACAAGGAGCCAAAGTCTTTGTTATGAAACGAAATGCAAGTCATATGCAGAGGGCTTGCTCTGATGTTGGGGATCATTTTGATATCCCTGGTCTTAAAACTGGTACCGTGAGAATGCGTGCAGATCTCATAGAGGAGTGGATCAATGCAAGAAATCTGGGTAACGACCCATTCTTGGTGCCCGATGGTCGCATGGTAGATTCGAACATATGTACATAGATTGCGAATGAAATGTATACCTGCAAAAGCACACCCTCCAATAGTTGATCCCTATATAAGTGACAATCTTGGTGAACGTTTAATCAACAATTGAACAAATCCCAGTATAATCCCTGGTCTTAGATATCCGCAACATGTATCCGCAGCAATACGAGCCCTTTACCTCCGATATCTTCTCTGCACTAGGTACGAATGAGAAGCGACGTCGAAGTCGAAGTGAATGACGAGAATTGGGATGGGAGAGGGGAGTTGAGTTTGTTGTGTGGATATTGGCTATGGCGATGGTTTTTGGATTGTGGATTACCTATACTAGGTAATGGATGATATCACTAGGGATGGATAGATAGGTTGGATAGGAATCGAAGATTCAATCAAGAGAGGAAGGGAAAAGTTAAAAAGAAATCAAGTGAAAGTGATAGCGAGTGAACAGCACAAGACGAGGAGAAGAGCATAAAACGAATCAGAAGAAGGAGCGGAGAGTAAGTATTAACAGATAAGATTTGACGTGAGCTGAATGTCAATTCTTTTAGTGTTTCAAATCAATTCAAATATTCAAATATATACAATATCTCAAATCCGTTTAGATATTTCAATTAAAATAATATTCCAATCCAGCCTGATAAGCTTAACACCAACCCCATCTCTTGATAATACATAACCCCATAATCCTCTCTAAAACAAATATCTCCTTTACATCCAACATTCATCCCGGTAGTATCAACCACTTCACCAGAATCTTCATCAACTCCATGTGTAATACCTCCAGAAGTATCAGTAATACCAGCAGTATCGGCAGCATCAACAACAATTGAAGCTTGAGTATAAGCAGTACCAATCCTAGCAGCAGCACCTAGAATATCAACAGCAGCAACTCTACTAGAAGCATCTAGTACCTAGCAGCACCAACCCTAACTCCAACATTAACCCGGTCAGAAGCTTCGTCAATTGTGCAAGTCACAGATATCAAGTTTTGTCGAGATGATGATTATTTGGCATTGTAACTTCGTTTCAATCGCGCGGCACCTTTCGCAGCACTTGCAGAAAGTCTTATAGGTTGTTGTAAAGCTTCAGGAATTGCTATAGATGGTCTAGTATGTTATATATTAATACATGATTAAACCTCAAGAATATAGAACATACGATTCTGCCAATCTCATCCCTTCTGTTGTACTCTCGAATGTCTTGCCTTTTTGTTCCTGTAGCATCTGCTTTCGACGTTTTGACCAAGCAGTCTGCGCTGATGCACGCTTCATGATTGGAAATAGATTGAATAGATAAGAAACCAAACTCGAGAGAGCTCAAAAGGACCTGATAGAATACACTACAAGAGGGTTTGTTACATTGAAATGATTAAAAATGAATTCGGGGTCTGATTGAAGATTCTTGAGAGTAATATAAGCTATTAAAGGTATCAAGAAAAGTAACCCGTACAGTATAACAAATAGTTGTGAATATTAGAGGAAGAAGAAGAAGAGAAGTAGAAAAGGAAATACGAATGAGAAGTTGGGGTAAAATCTGAATCTATCTCGTAGTAGAAAGGTGTGGTATATATCATTGTGGAAGGCACTCTTTGATATAAAATATCGATATCCACTTCCCAAGGATTCGCATTTCATCATTCCACTTATTTGTATTTACTGTTTGATAGAATGATATGTAGATGATCATTGGGATCAGAGTTGATTTAGATATAGAAGAATAATATACTTAAATAGTAATCAATAATTAACATATTCGTGTATTCATCATTCATCTATAGATCAAAAAAAACCATTACTAGAATCATATCCTACAGCTAAATAAATGGATACATCTACAGTAATTACTTCAAAACTAAGTGATCTGTAAATCGAAATGTATAACTGGAAATATATTTTATTATAATAGAAATGAATCTATATCGATAGACCCCATAACTCATCTGTCTATAGATCAACCCAATCATCGATGTTGTATTCTATAACGGCATAGAAAAGTGAATCTTAAAGAATACGCTTCACAACTCAATCATCTCCTGGCTGTAAACCCTGTGCTCATTTATAAGAATACAAACTAAAGGGAGTCTATCATGCACAGCATATACCTACTATGTAGCTATAGAAAGAATGGAAAAGGAAGAGAGAAAGAACCGAATAATATCCGCGTTCAAAATTTCAATACACCATAACAGAAGGAGATATCTGAGGGATGTCGAATTTTGCAATCATTTCGCAGATTCTTGGATCGGCCAACTGTTTATCATCTCTTTGACTAGATCTATATCGCTTGTTGTGTTTAGAAGTTCTTCGATGGAGGGATCTGGATCTTTGCTTCGAGACAAGCCTAACCAGCTTAACACCAACCCCATCACTTGATCGTATCTCTCTTCCATTCACCACTTACCCCAGCAGCGGCAGCAACAGAGGTAGGGGAAGCGGCAGCACTAACAACATCAGCAGAATTAGTAGTACTTGTAGTATTGGTAGTACTTGTAGTATCAGTGGTATCAGTAGTATCAACAGCAATAGTCCCAGCGGCCGCAGCAGTAGCGAGAATGATAATGAAAGTGCAAATACCCCCCCCCCAAAAAATCTTTTTACCTCTACCAGCCATCCCCCTTCTCAGCATCAGAGAGCTCGTTGCCCCAGTCCACCCTCACCCGTACTATGATCTCGATTCATCAGAACTGCAACAACTCGGATTATGGATTTATCTGGAGGGATGTGGACACAACAGGTTTTTGGGTAGAGGAATCTATTATTGAAATCCGGGTATTCCGAGGGGCAACGGCAACAGCAACAGCACTAGAATTGTTCTCACAGATTAGATGATTCATACAAACCCAACAATGCAATCATGCACTGTTCTGCTAAAAGAAAGAACCCACAAGACTTTATATTCTCATATCGTGCAAACTGCAGGAAACTTGATATATATCGTCAACAGTCCGAATATCTGATTCGACTTGAACATTCGATCTGGCCTGAACGTTTGATCCGACTTGAAGTTCTGGTCTAGCCTGGAATATTAACAGAAGTGGAATATTCTATCTGGCTTAGAAAATCGATAGAGTTTGAATATCTGAACTGACTTGAATGTCTCACCTGATTTGAATATCCAACCTAGCTTAACACATTCAATGCATTGGAATATTCCATCTGATATAGAACATTAATAAAGTTTCAATACCTAATCTACCTTGAATACCTAATCTGACTTGAACAACTGATCCGATTTAGAACATTGATATATTTTGAACATCTAACCTGGCTTGGAACATCAAAAGGGTTTGATCATCAGAATCGAATTGGAACATTGAAAGCACTACACTATCAAATCCAAAGCAGAACAATACCTAGTGACTATAAGGTTTGCTTGGTGTGCAACTTTATTTTGTCCATCATTGAAGCATATGAGGCAATGGCCCGTGCATAAATTACGTAATAGGGCATTGCACCAATTCCGAGGTCAATCAAGAAAAAGTAGCACAAAACCTCGAAAAGCAAGATAGATTGCAAAATGTTTTTGTGTAGTTGAATGATTGTGGAAAAGACTGCTCTAGTGTTTGGCATGATTCCAAGGTGCCTCCATCATACTTTGGACATTTGCCTCTTGCCCAAACATTGCAACATGAAAACGAGATTCGTACACACCACTTATACACATATATGCACTCAGATCCTGATATCTCATTCAACGCAAATGATAATCTACCCTCACTCCAACGATATTCATAGTGCTCTCCGCCACATCAACCAACTTCTTCATCTGATGAATCGGGTATCGTATAAACTATTTTAGTATCTTGTTTATCTGGAATTCGAACGTTGCTAGCATCAGAGGTTCGTTTTCGCTGTCATCTTCGGTAACGAGCCTGCGCTTGTTACTCTTCCTCGAAGAGACCAACTCAACGTCAATTGAGTCGGAACTTCCATTCAGATTCTATTTGGTATTTGTTACAATGGTGGATGTTGCAGCCCTTGAGGAAGGAACAACCGCAGCTTTACTCGATCCTCCTCTGAAATGTATGCCTGCCTTCGTATCTTGCTTAGCAAATGACGAAAAGATGGTGCTCTGCTTGGTAAATTCCGACTTGAAACTCTTGGCAGTTGAAGATGTATTTTCGATGCCCTTCTATTGAAAGAAGCTGAGGCAGATGATGTGCCTGCTTTCTGGAGGTCGATCAAAACCTTCTCAGAGCACACTGTACTCCGATAGTACTCCGTGCCCTCCTGACTTTGAGTTTCCGATTGCAAGCCTTTGACAGTCACGCTTGAATTCGTGCTAGATACCCCAGAGCCATTGAAGCTATCATTTGACCCTCCATATCTTTTCGTGTTAGGCCTTTCCTCTGTATCGACGAATGGAGCAGACTGCTCTTCTCTCAATACCCGAGAAACTCCAATGAGCAGATCAGTGCATTATTCTTCGTTCAGATCCTCTAGCTCATTTTTGGTATCGAGATCCGCCATTTGTGTTCTCCAGCTTGCTGCTTGTGATACACTCCCTTTGTTTCTGCCGATGCGGAAACATGGTTTTCAATAATCCCGCCAGCTAGCCATAGTGGTGTTTGCTCGCAGGGAGTATTCTGAGATGACTACTAAAAGTATTTGACTTGAATTCAAGTTAGCATGTATCCAATAATATGAGGAGCAGCAATCGTACATACAAAATCCTGTCTATCCTGTGCAATTTGAGGTCTGAAATTTGATAGAGGCTTGGAATAGAAGGAAATTGATAGAACAATTTAACTAGGTAGTCGCCTAGGTGTCAGTCGGTTCAAAAGGAGGAAAGAGCCACTTGCCAATACAGCTTTTGGTAAAATCTTCTTACCAAAACGATCAAAGTCCAGAATTTTGCTACAGCGTTGGTAAAGGACTACCAATTGTTCTAGTTTAGATGAGGCTGATAAAAAGATTGTGGTGGATTAAGCAAAGGTATAAAAGTTTAGAACCCTAGATCAACCGTTTTGACCCAAATTCGTGACTTGATTACCTACCTACCTAGGTAGAGTTAGAATGTCGCGGGGCAATTTGCTTTCCGGGCCCCCTGCATCCCAGGTATGGTATCGCATAATCTCAGTTGAAAGAACTCACACGACAACTCGTGACTGATTACAGTGCACATTCCCGTCAACAAAAAGCACTTGGGAATTGAATTCGCCAACAGCCAGCATCTCGATGTCCAAAGAATACATTCAAAAAAAGTACAAAATACACGCAAAAGATATGATCCATGCGAGGCTCGAACTCGCGACCTACCGCGAACAAATTTCTCAATCAAGAGAGAATTGTGAGGCGGTCGTGATAACCAACTACACCAACGGACCTGATATGTTGAAAATGCTGCTCACATCTTCAAATATATATCCCCATATCTGCAGAAAATTAGTCGAGTAAGTCGGTTTTGGTGCTAGAAATTGGAGAGTGGAAACATGTGCAGGTGGAAAGTGGGCTCGGTGGGGTTCGAACCATCGCAAGGAACTCGTACTCCATACTTGGTGTGGAATAGATAAAATTAATGCAGTTCATGAAAGAAACATCATAAATAGGAAAAAAGGGGTTGAAGTCATTCCCTTTGTCTCGACTCTCCTCATATTTAATATGAGACGATATTGACAAGGGGCCCGTGATTTCCCATTGTAGTGAACTTTAAAACCCCGTGTAATCTTTGGCGGGCGCAGCAAATCTTTAATAAACCGCGAAACTGCGAAACTGCAACATTCGCCGCTAGAATTTGAGTTTCACCATCATTTATTACCTACAGCCTGCAAAGCGATAGATAGGTAGCATCATCAAAAAGACTTTTGGATGAGCTCCGCATAATCATCCCCTCACAAGTAACAAAAACAAACAACAACTGAATTAAAATATTCTTTTTTTGAATTTCCTCCTCAACATTTATTAATTGCCTGCATTTCAATAACTTTGATCCCCTTCTTCTTTCCATATCATTTGTATGAGCCGGGATGGCTGGTCGTTTTGTGCGCGCGTCGAAATATCGTAAGCCTTGTTACAATATCCCCAAGGAGAGAGGCACGAGAGCAATCGCTGACCGATCGATCTAATAGGACATGTCTTTGGTAAATCATCCAAGAAGGAGGCATGCTACGATAACTTGCATATCAGTCGCAATGCTTGGGATACCAATTTAATCAAGGTGGGAAACCAATGACTTGGAAATGTGATATAGATTTGAGGAAAGAAGGTAACTCATCATCGAAAATAGGCCAATCCTGAATATCTTTCGGTCAATTGGGAAGCTAGTGGTGGAGGCGCATTCGCTGTTATTCCTTTGAACGAAAAGGGTCGTCTGCCAGAACAAATCCCATTGTTTCGAGGCCACACTGGACCAGTTCTTGACACGGATTGGTGAGTAGTTGATCGAGTGGCAGGCTGGAATAAACGCTCATCTTTGAACCAGGAACCCTTTCAACGATCGCATTATCGCTTCCGGATCCGATGACGGGAAGGTATTTATATGGGAGGTTCCCCAAGGTTTCTCCCTCTATCAAGACTCTGAAGAACCCGTCGATGTTGCGCCTGTCAGCAAATTGGCAGGTCATTCTAGGTATGTGCCGATAATACCGAAGGTTCGCATTGATTCTAATAACCTGCAGGAAAGTCGGACAAGTTCTTTTCAACCCCGCGGCAAACAACATTCTCGCATCTGCATCTGGAGATTACACAGTTAAGCTATGGGATATCGGCACCGGAAAAGCACCTTTGACATTGAAGCACGGAGATATTGTACAAAGTTTATCATGGAGCGCAAATGGAGCTCTTCTGGCCACCACTTCTCGAGACAAGAAATTACGCATTTGGGATACTCGACAAGAAAGACCTGCACACGAAGGGCCCGGACATACTGGTGCAAAGAATAGCAGAGTCGTATGGATGGGAGAACATAATCGCGTGGCTACTACCGGATTCTCCAAGATGAGTGATCGTCAATTGGCTTTGTGGGATGTTGGTAACGCCAAGCAACCAATTGGAGGGTTCACTGTTTTGGACTCTATCTCGGGTGTTTGCATGCCATTCTGGGGTAGGTTACATTCATGAATCATGTTTGACCCATACTAACGCTCATGCAGATGATGGTACTCAATGTTTGTACTTGGCAGGCAAAGGGTAAGTTCATGGGCAGGTACCGGAAAGAAATCAGCTAACAACTTTAGTGACGGTAACATTCGATACTATGAATATGAGAACGACAAGTTCGAATTTTTGTCCGAATATAAGTCTAGTGATCAACAACGTGGTATCGCATTCCTTCCTAGACGTGGTATTAATGTAAGTGGTTGTCATTGTGTATCTTTCTCGTACGTATTCTAACCAAAATCCAGGTTCACGAGAACGAAGTCATGAAGGGATTTAAAACAGTCAATGACCAATATGTTGAGCCTATCTCTTTCACAGTTCCTCGCCGTGCCGAAGTCTTCCAATCTGATATTTACCCACCTGCGATTGGTTTGAAACCTGCAGTCACTGCTGAGGAATGGCTTGCTGGTAAAGATGGAATTCCTGCCAAGATCGATTTGGAAAGTGTGTATGAAGGAAACGGTCCAGTTGAGGTAGCATCCGATTATAAACCACCTGTCACTGCACCAGCGCCAACCCCAGCCCCAACGAAGACCGCACCTCCAAAGGCAGAGCCTGAACCAGCTCCAGTTGCACAAAGAGCACCTCCACCAACTATGTCTGAACAAAAGGGTTCCATTTCTGCCATGGCCTCTAAATTCCAAGACGATGAGGAGGATGAAGCCGATGATAACTCCAGCTTCGAGGAGATTCAAAAGCCAGTTCAGAAGTCCGTCCCAGCTCCAGCCAAGCCAGAACTAATCAAGCCCGCTCCAACTAAGGTCACACCACCCAAGCCATCTCCTGTATCTCAAGCAACACCGACATCATTCGAGCCTGCAGCAAAGGCTACCCCCACCACTATCGCTACCTCTTCCGGGCCCATTTCCGCGGTTGGTGCTTCTCAACCATCCCCAACCTCGGTTGGCGTCGAAGATTCCCTAGCAGAAATTAAACAACTTTTGGAAGCCCAAACTAAAACTATTACGGCGCAAACGGAGAAAATTGGTTTATTGACTCAAGAGGTTGATACATTGAAGATGAGAGTTGGTCCTGGTGATCAAAGTGAAAGAATTAGACAGTTGGAGTTGGAGTTGGAAGCTGCTAAGTCTTAAATATGGGATTTAGTTGCGGGTGTGCGGTGTGCTTTGGGGGGTTGTGAGGAGTGGAAAAGAGGAGAGTACATTACATGACGCAGGTATTTTTCAGGTTTTAGAGCGATAGGCGAATTGATGATGGAAAGGTGTTTCATTCTTGTGAGAGCTATCGTTTAAGTGAATCTGAGACATCTACAATTGAGTCATAAGTCCAGTGAACAATTCAAAGATGCAGGTATGCGTCTGTCGTAGCCTAGCCCAAATGGGCACAATAGATCCTAATTTGGATTACATTGTCTTTTTTCAACTACCTTTATCACTCAACTACAAACTATATACACCCTCGTAATTCAGGTCCAACTTATACACTCTATCTTTCTTGTTCAACTCTGATATATACAACATACTCTCATTCTTCAACCTCAAATGATTCATTCAGCCCGTATCAGATCCTGTCTTACAATACTCTCCTTCTGCTGATGCGCTTCATGTTCTTCGTCTTGTCTTGTGCTGTTCGCTCGCTAGCACTTGAGTTATCTTTTCGCATCCCCTGTTGTGTTTCTTGTATTGTGCATCCTGTTGTGGGTGGATAGGTATTGGTTGTTCTATTTTTTTTATGTATGTTTGTATATATGTATATTATGTTATAATGCTAATCCTTCAATACACACTTCTCACTACTCAATTCTTACCCTCACGTCCCACCCCTTATCTCTCATCCCTCACCTCCCACCTCTCATACCTCGCCCCTCATCCCTCATCCAATACATCTACTATCTCTCCATTACCCCAGAATACCTACTTCCCTTACAGATTGCTCAATGCATGACTGTATGATTTATTAATCAAATTAATACTAGTGAAATCTTTGGGGCTGAAGCGAAGAGGAGGGGGCTGTGATATGGGATGGGATATATGGGATATCCATGATGTGGTTACTTTTTTTGTGGGTTTAGAGGGGGTGATGGCTGGGGATTTGATGGTTGTTGAGGGGTTTGGCGGGGGGAGGGAATATGGGATGAGGAGTATGAATAGGGAGAGAAGAGAAGAGAAGAGAAGAGGGGAGGGGGGAAGAGGGGGAAGAGGGGGACTGGCTTGAGAGCAAGAAGGTGCACTACATGCATCCCATTCTCACTCTTGATCATACAATTTAATTGTATAATCAAAAGCTTATCTAACCAAATCAAAATCACTTGACCATGCACAATCAGTCTGCTTGGGCTTGGAGTATATCACGTGATTTGGAACCCAGTCCTGTCATCGAAAAATCGAGTGCTTGTGGGCCATGACCCGAACCCCGTTTACTACTACCTACTTATGGTACATCCTACTAACATGATAGTCTCAGCCATAAAGAGGGGAAGGATCATTATTCATATACAGAAACTACTCGACAAAATAAAAAATTCTGTCGTTCTATCCAAGCAACCAAGGGTTGGATTAGATCAGGAAGCTGGACTTCAATTTTGTTACTCGGCCCCATCATTCGATGTATTACATCGTACGGAAGTTACCATGAAAAGTTTCTCATGCCAGCCTACCGCATGCTTGGATTGACCATCTGAAGATATGCAAAAGTTTGCTACTCCGGAAAATGGTATCAAGTAGTCTACGGTACGATCTAACCCTATGGTAATTGATCTATCAAAGATTGTACACTTCAATCTTACTCAGAAATTCGCCGGTAAAACTTATTTCGGAACAAGAGCGATCTTAATGGTAATTAAGATTCGAATGACACGATATCGTCGACATCTGCGAGATCGATTCAAGCCTTGGCTCGGCCAGGAAAGGAACGTAAGAGGCTGAAAAATTCCCGTCGGGATCATTATTTCCTATCCCTTTAACTTAGATTCATCAGTAACCGTGGCTCAAATAGCTGGCTACAAGCTTCATTCCTCAGCAAATGTTTTGCAGATCACCAACGTCTTTTTCTGTGTTTCCTTTGGTCGTCGCGCTTCAAGAATGCTTGGATATCCACATTACATATTTCGCGAAAGTCGCGAATATGCACGCGCTTGGAGGAGGGGGGTTAGGCGAATCCCTCTGCTTATAATCTGAGGGTTCTACTATACTGGTAGATTTCTACACCTGGAAAGTTACGGTGCTTGTGCTTTTGTCTTCGTTGCGCTCGCTCATTTTGCGCTTCTCGTCATACAGTCGCTCATTCATTAACCTGTCCTTATTTGGACTATCACAATCTTTTAACCTTTAGGATGTTTGTTCGCAATGTTGCGGTTTGGGCTGTGGCTCTGAGTGTTACCGTTTCGACGGTTTCCAGCGAGAGCGCTGTTAGTGAAAAGGTCGCGAGAGCTGAAGGAGAGGATAGCATGTACGTTTTCTTATGAAGTTTCATGTCTGTTCAAAGACATCAGTTTGATGATATTAGATGCTGATAATACCTTTGATTATATAGAGCAAAACGTCTTTTGTTTTCTACAAAACCCAATGATTCTAATGGCCCTTCTCTAGCCGATCTCTTTGATTTAGATGGGGATGAGGATGATGACTCAATCTCTGATTTCATTTCGCAATTGCTCGGGGCTCATGGTGGAAGCCCTGGCTCGGGAAGTGGTTCTGGAAACAACAACCCAGGGAACAACAATCCAGGAAGCAATAATGGCCCTGGAGGGAACAACAATCCAGGGAACAACAACCCAGGAGGCAATAACGGTCCCGGAGGCAATAATCCAGGAGGGAACAACCAAGGAGGGAACAACCAAGGAGGGAACAACCAAGGAGGGAACAACCAAGGAGGGAACAACCAAGGAGGGAACAACCAAGGAGGGAACAACAACTCCCCTGGAAACTCCGGAAGCGGAGGATGGAATGGATTTCCCAACTTCCCTGGCTTCCCTGGCTTTGGAAATGGCGGAGGCTCAAACAACAACCCAGGTAATAACAATCCAGGAAATAATGGAGGCTCAAATGGCTTTCCTGGATTTCCAAACTTCCCTGGCTTCCCTGGTCTTGGAAACGGTGGTAGTTCAAACAATAATCCAGGTAACAATGGTGGTAATGGAGGACCAAGCAATGGAGAATGGCCTCCCCATACTCCACTTATCCAATTTCTACGAGGCGAAGGAGCCAATTCGGCTTATTTTTCCCAATTTTTAAACAGGTTGGATGCTGCTGCCTTTGCCGCCTTTCTCCGTAGATCTGGATTTGCTTCTCTTACCGAGTTCCAACAGGAGGCTGCTGCAGGTCTGGTCTCAATTGGCGACTTCCTTACCTTTTTGGATGCACTCTCACGCTATAACTTCTTACAATTATTGGGATTTCCGTTCATCATTGGCTTTCCAAACCCACCAGTATCTCCAAGTGCAACTGTTTCGCTAGCTACAAGAACCCCAACTACGAGCGTTGGTATTATTGGAGGTGCTACGACTTCTTCAAGTACTACGAGGCCTACGTCATTCATTCTTCCTAGTCCTTCAACCTCCTCCACCAGAGCCATTATCGGAGGCCCATCCACTTCTTCTAACCGCAATCCTATTGGCGGCCCTTCAACTTCTTCAACGAGAGCAATTATTGGAGGTCCCTCTACTTCCTCGACTCGTTCAATCATCGGAGGTCCCTCAACCTCATCCTCTACATCACGAAATATTATTGGAGGCCCTTCGACTACGTCCACTCGACCCATAGTTGGTGGTCCCTCGTCTTCTTCTACCACTCGTAACATTGTGGCCAGCCCATCCTCTTCATCTACTCGTAATATCATTGGGGGCCCTTCGTCATCTTCCTCAACCAGAGCTATTGCTGGTCCTTCGACTTCCTCTACTCGACCAATTATTGCTGGCCCTTCAACTTCAAGTACAAGATCGTCTACTTCCACTAACTTGATAGCAACTTTCAGGACATCTAGCACTAGTTCTTCAACCAGAGTACTTGGAGCGAGCAGTTCATCATCGAGCTCTTCACGTGGTTCCACCCAAGGACTTGGAGCACCATCTAGCTCTAGTTCCGTACGCTTTTGCTGTCTTGTATATCTCAATATCAATGCTAATCTTAAATAGTCAACACGATTGAATGTGGTACCCACAACCTCCACAACTCGTTCAAGCACTAGCTCGGTGAGAAACTTTCTATCATACAAATATCAGATCAACGCTAATATTCTATAGTCATCAACGCGGGTCAATCTTGTGGTGACGAGCTCTAGTTCCGTATGATCTCTTTTGGTCGTCTGTCGATAGCAATGGAAGCTAATTCTTAACAGTCATCAACACGAGTCAATACCTTGTCTACAAGTTCTTCGGTCCGTTCCAGTACTAGCTCTGTATGTTTTTCCCTTTTATCTCTCAGAATTGAAGGATACTAACGAACTGATAGTCGCCATCTTCATCCCGCACTTCTACCTCGGCTGTTGGCCTCGGGGCTAGTTCCACTACATCTCGGGTAACAATTACTCCCATCATATTTATAACGCCATATGACCATTTCAAAAATGCTAACGTCTTTCTAGTCAGCATCTTCTTCTCGAAGTACCACAGCCGTAGGCCTTGGAGCAAGCTCCACCTCAACTAGGGTAAGAATGTTCTCAGTATCACTACACAGATGCTAATGCTACTAGACATCATCTTCCTCTTCTTCCTCTCGTAGCAGTACCTCGGCTGTAGGCTTGGGGGCTAGCTCGTCATCTTCTAGGGTACATTATTTCTCTTTGCTTACTATCAAAATCATGATGAAGCTAATATCTTCGATAGTCATCGTCATCTTCCTCTTCCTCTCGTAGCACTACTTCAGCTGTAGGTCTAGCGGCAAGTTCTACTTCATCTCGGGTATATATTCTTTCTTCATATCTCAACACCCCTTTCTTCTTTGAAAAGCTCGATGGGTTTGACGATTTATACAGTCATCTACCTCAAGTAGTAGATCTTCAACCCTTTTGGCTGTCGTTAGCTCTAGTACTAGCCGGGTAAGTTTCACTTCTCTTTACCGTTTTAGTTTGTCGATAATTATTTAATCAATTCTATAGTCGTCTTCTTCCAGTTCACGCACCTCATCTTCAACCCAATTGGTAAGTCTTGCATCTATGTCTCACATAATTCTCTATCTATAATGCTAACACTATAAAAAGGGTCTCGGTGCTAGCACCAGTACATCAAGATCTACCACTCTCTTCTCATCCACTAGAACTTCATCCACCAGCTCCACTAGCCCAACTTCGAGTGCCGCTTCTGGTTTATTAGTATCGCCTAATGGAAGATGTGGACCCCAATCTAATTCCTTATACACGTGCCAAGGAAGTCCCAATGGGAACTGTTGTTCGAGATTTGGATACTGCGGTCGTGAAGCTGATTGGTGCACGGGTGGCTGCAACCCCGCATTTGGAACCTGTGGACTGGGGCAGTACCAAGGATTGACAAGTTCGAGTAGTTCAAGCGCTGTGGTAAATTTCAATCCTTTTTGTCAATTTGATACATGCTAACTTAGTATAGGGCCTTGCTGGAACTTCTACTTCTACTTCTAGATCATCATCTAGCTCTAGATCTTCCTCGTCATCCCCTGTCGTATGTATCACTTTCTTTATTGATACGACAAGTTCTAAGATAGATAAATAGGGACAAGGATTGAGCACTAGCTCTACGAGGGCAGCTACACTAAGTACCAGTTCAACTGCACGACTTGTTGGAACCTCTAGTTCAACTTCCAGATCTTCTTCATCAACAGCTGTGGTACGTTCTTTATTCTCATAATGTTGTCTTTTATTCGCTTCTCAGGGTGAATGTTGATATTTTGCAGGCCCAGGCATTAAGTACTAGTTCAACACGAGCAACTACTTCAAGCTCAAGTTCCACGGCACGACTTGTCGCTGGAACTTCCAGTTCTTCCAGATCCTCGTCAACATCGGCTATGGTTAGTTCTTCACCCTCGAAATACAATCACACTATTGCTTTCTTGTAATGAATTCTAATGCCTTTATAGGGTCAAGGTCTAAGTACCAGTTCAACAAGAGCAACTACTTCAAGTACCACTTCAACAGCAAGGCTCGTGGGAACTTCCAGTTCGAGTTCCAGATCTTCAACATCAGTAGTCGTAAGCATTTCTTTTCTAAAACCTCGCCTGGTCTCCTTTTAATTTATGATGATATTTACATATTTATTAGGGTCAAGGATTGAGCACTAGTTCAACAAGAGGATCCACCTCATCATCCAGCACAAGGCCAATTGCCGCCACCGTTAGCACAAGTTCGACACCCTCATCCACAGCTGTCGCTGCTTCCGCTAGCGCTTGTAGACCAGTCGCAGCTCCTGCCGTAACCCTCGCCTTGACTGCAACTGACTGCTGTCAATACTACATCACCAAAACCGGTGACACATGTGCCAGCATTGCCGCTCGTCCTGGCATTCTCGGCTTAAATCTTGTTGTTCTTGCTCTTCTCAATCCAAGCTTGAGATGTGTAGGACAAGGACCCCAAGTTGGTGTCGCTGTCTGTGTTCTGAATATCCAATTATCCATCGTAGGCAACCTAGTATCACCTGGTGATTCCTCAACCGTAACTTCTTCGACCATCGCAACTCCAAGCCCATCTCAGGCAGTGCCTGAAAGCTTCTTTATCCAGGCTCGAAATTCTGGAACCTCAGCTGACGGCACGAGTCTTATGATTCAACAAACTGCGGAATATTTTGCTGGCTTCAATTTGAATTATGGTCAATCAGTTTTCCCATTCACGTACGATTCTGATACCGGGTACTTGACATCGGGTCTTTATATCCTATGGGCTACAGCATCGTATTCGCCTCCATCCATCAAAGTAGCACCAGCTGGCTTCACAGGATGGGTAGTTCCGGCTTGGCCATTGATTTGTAGTATAGATGGCAATTTGAAGGTGTCATGTACGGCCAATGGAGATGTTTATGGGAAATTATATCTCATAAATGGTATGTTTTCATTTTCCGGATCTCTAGATATTATGCCAAGACAGATAGATGGGAAAAAATATACTAATAGATTAACAGCAAACAATGACGGACAAACTGAACTCGCTATTGGAAATGGCGCAACAACAAGTTCAATCATCGTTGCGCCACTTGATCTTTATGTTGTCGCTAATGAGGAGGAGGAATAGGTAAAGGTTCTGCGTGGATAGATTTTTTCAATATGCTGGGAGGAAAATCGTATTATTTTTATTGATTCCTTCCTTCTCCTTTTATTTCCTTGGTTCTGGCTGGTCCGTTTTCGGTTGGAGTATCTATGGTTGGCCGGGCGGATGAATTGAAGGAAAATATATCAATGTCTTTTAAGCCTCTGAAAATCTATGTGTTGCTGGTGTGTAGTTTTATTTAGGTACCTAGTTTGACTCAATTTTCGAAATCTTAGAATGAAATCTTGTGGTTTGATATTTGGTTTTGTAGTTTTGTGGGTTTGTTTCTTTGACAATACTCCTATCGCTCGCGACACTCTCCCGTGTACGATAATAGCCCAGTTTTAGATACGGACGCTTCGAGTTTGGCTGGATTTCATATATATACTTGAGTCTAAATTTGACATTTTGCAAAATGATTCAAAGCTTCTTTCTCGGACTGCTCTGACCACCTAGGTAGGTAATTAGTGTTTGGCTGGCTTAGTAACCAACCAATGATCATTAGACATTCCCTGTATTATACTACTACTAAGCAACACGATCTACAAAACCAATCCTTCTTTTCCATTTCTAGGAGTTTACGAATTGTCTGAACTTTTGAACTTTAACATGAATCCGAATCCAAATCCAAAACCCTGCCACACACAAATTACACCTCGCTAAGCGGGCTGCGGGGAGCAAAGCCCCATGTACCCCGCCATCCTTCAACCAACTTCAACGAGCAGATCCTTAAAATTCGTACGTAATACCGCGAGCGAATTAAATTTTCTTCTCAGACTAGAGCAAGCACGCCATTTGCATCACGAATTTTTCTGTCAATTATTCGTCATTGAAGGTTACTTATTTCTTCGAGCACATTTCAAAATCATGGAGATGTCAACCTGCATATCCTTATCCTCCTGCATACGCATCGTTCTCTCCCATTACACTTATTCTTGACTAGAATTCAATCTTCATACCTTCTAAAGACAGCACAGATGAAATAAGAGATCGACATTCTCTCCTCCCTCGTCTCAAAATGTCAAACTCGCATCTCCAATCAAAAAATGAAAATATCCACGTGATCGATCATACCAAAGATGCGGAAGCAAACAATCTTCACCACGACGACCACGAGCGTCCCATCGTCGCAGATAAACTCGCTCGCTCCCTCTCGGCCCGTCAAGTACAGATGATAGCCATCGGCGGCACGATCGGCACGGGTCTCTTTCTCGGCACGGGGAAATCCCTCGCAACAGGTGGTCCGGCGTCGTTTCTCATCGCCTATCTCATCGTCGGATTCATCGTCATGTTAACTATGCTTTCTTTGGGGGAAATGGCTGCATTTGTACCGATTGCCGGAAGTTTCTGTACTTTTGCAGGTCGATATGTAGATGATGGATTGGGGTTTGCTCTGACGTGGAATTATTGGTTTAACGATGCGGTGAGCACGGCATCCGATTTGGTCGCGCTGCAGTTGGTTTGGGCGTATTGGGGAGATACTGGATTGCCGGGTTGGGGATTGGCGTTGATTTTTTGGGTGCTGTTGGTTTTGGCTAATGTTATTACGGTCAAGGCTTATGGAGAGGTGAGTTTGGGGATACTTTGATGAAAATGATGGAAATGATGGAAAGATGCTGATTGATGGGATTTTAGCTCGAATACTGGTTGAGCTTTTTGAAGGTGATTACTATTACGGTAGGTGACTTTTGTTTTCTGTGGGGTTATAGGTTGAGATGCCTCCATCTGGATTAAGAGCTGGTGTTCCAAATCTCTCGAATAAAGTGAGATATCAGTGAGATTGTTATTCAAGATCATTACCTGGATAATGATATCAATCTACCTTTTGATACCCATTCAAAATTGAAGGAGATCAATAAATCAAAAGCTTTTGGGTGTTTTAATATTCAAAAGTAATGATCGTTTGATTTGATGCTGGATATCAAAAGGATACATGATTTTAGTGTTCTTCGGTGTTTGGGGGTTTTTGGTTTTATTGAAGAATGCTAATATTTCTCTAGATCTTCATAATTCTAGGAATTGTAGTCAACTGCGGAGGTAACACTTCTAATACATATCTCGGAGCACACAACTGGTATATTGGCGACGCACCATTCGTAGGAGGAATCGGTGGATTTGCATCTGTCTTCGTAACCGCATCTTTCGCATGTAAGTATTCCCCTTCCCCCCAGAAAACCCCCAAGTCTAATTCCTCTCTAGACGGCGGCACCGAATCCATCGCTATAACGGCCGGCGAAACCAAAAATCCCACCAAGAATCTTCCTCGTGTAGTGAAAAATGTCTTCTGGCGTATCCTGATCTTCTACATCCTTTCCGTCTTCCTCATCGGCCTCAACATCCCTTACAACTATCCCGGACTCTCCAGCAAAACAACCACCACTTCCCCATTCACCCTCGTATTCCAAATGGTCGGCGCCAAAGCCGCAGGCTCTTTCATGAACGCCGTCATCCTCACCTCCGTCATTTCAGCAGGAAACCATGCTCTATTCGCCGGAACTCGACTCCTCTACACCCTATCCGTCGATCGTCACGCGCCTCAATTTTTCGGAAAACTAAACCGCAATAAAGTTCCCTGGGTAGCCGTCCTAGCTACCAGCGCCATCAGCGGTCTCTGTTTCGGCGCAAGCTTCATCGGCGCAGGACAATTATGGACGTGGTTGCAAAATCTCGTGGGCGTCAGTAATCAATTAGCTTGGATCGCTATCGGAGTAACCTCGATTCGGTTCCGCGGGGCATTAGAGCTCCAGGGAAAAACCCACCTCTTGCCCTTCAAAAACTGGACGTATCCGTGGGGACCATGGATATGTGTCTTGCTTAATGTGGTGATTGTGCTGGTGCAGGGATGGAGTTGCTTCAGTCCGACATTTAGCGCGGTGAATTTTGTGAGCTTTTATATTGAGCTGCCGGTTATGGCGGTCATGTGGCTAGGCTGGAAGTGGCTGAAGGGGACCAAGGTGGTGAGTTATGAGGAAATGGATTTACAGACTGATGTGTATGTTATTGGGGAGGAGGATGAGAAAGAGAGGGAGAGGGAGAGGACCGCCAGGGGGAAGGTGGAAAGGGTTTTGAGGTGGATTTTTTAGAGCGGTGTATCCATAGAGTGAGAATGAGGATGGGAGTAAGAATTGGCGTTTTGGGGTAGTTATTTGGAAGTGAGTTCGTCATTGATATGTTTTCAATACACACTAAGGTTATGGTCGATTTAAGAAGTCAAACATATGTGCACCTGCCGTAAGGGGCTAAAGAAGGGTTTGAATCGATGGAGGGAGATGAACGGGTAGAAAGGATATGATAGGATGCGATGAGATAGTATGAAGAAATATCACTACATGAATAGAGACCTTGCAGAGAAAGAATCAGAAACTCCAAAATGTAAGGATGAAATATTTACCAGAAACCTCAAGGAATCTATCACTAGAAACTCATACTCGAAATGAATTTCCATTCACTGATAATTCAATTCAATTTCATTTCGTTTGATATCACATCTCAATCAATCACAAGACAAGAGATGAAATAAGAACCATTGAGAAAATCCATTAAATATTGCATTCGACAAAATATGATGCAAAAATCATGCGTCCTCATCTGATTGACCAAAAATTAAACATAAAGGAGTGACAAGAAATTTTTGTCTCAAGTGAGACATTAGCGCATTAAAAAAGCCCTCTTTACTTTATGTTCCATCCAATCCATCCAATCCTTTCTATCCCCCTTTTTACACCCCCTCACCAACTCAGCCATCTCTCCATTTTTCCTCGCCTTGAAATCTTATCAGTCTCTTAGTTTAGTTAAGAGTATAAGTGTACGAGCTCTCGCAAGTCCAGCTATCGGAACCCTGTTGACCGGGGTTATAGGTAGCCTGGTTGCTGGAGTAGGATTGAGCGAATAAGGAACAGTAGGTACCCATTGGCTTTCCGTTCTTCTTCAACATGTAGGAGTTGAAGAACTTGCATTGGAATGGAGAGTAGTTCAAGAACTTGTAGATCATTTGCATCCACCAGGAGATGAGGGAGAGGTTCTTGGAGTTCTGGGCGGTGGCATAGCCGGCGCAGACAGCGGGGTTGTATGGACCAGGGAAGAAAGCTTGTCCCAAGCAGGTGTTTGGGTGAGAGTGTCCCTGGTTTCCACCACCGCATTGTTGAGGTGGCTTCCAGCCTGGTTGTGGTGCAGGAGTGACGGTCTTGGAGTATCCGTTGGAACCGGTGATGACGACTTGGAAATCAGTGCGCATTTGACCGGTGTTGGTGGCAGATTCAGTGGTGACGCCAGAGCCCCAGAGAGTACACTTGTAGTTGGTGATAGAGGCTGGGTTTGGGCAGTCGGCGGATGGATTCATGTATGGATCACGCTCAACGTAGATGTTGAAACCTGTGCAGAGAGAGGTGCTGTCACAGAGAGAACCGCACTGAGCGACATCGTAGGTGGTGAAGGTGGTGAGCCCGAGATAGGTGACAGCAGTTACTGCAGCATTGAGATCAACGAAGGATTGAGTATAGCCGGAGGGAGTGGCGGCATTCTTGGCGTCAGTGTGGAACTGAGTATAAGCGAGGAAAGCATCAACGGTATCAGGTTGGACCTTTGGTCCGTAACCATCTGGTTGAATTGCGCATGCTTTGCTGACATCTGGGGTGGTTTCTGGTACAGCAGCGGTAGAAGAAGTAGGAACACTGTTTTGGGCTGTAGTTGAGGTGGGAGTGCTCTGAGTGGTTGTGCAACTTGTGCTGGCGGCTTCTCCACTTCCTCCTCCGTTACTCCATCCACCATTTCCACCCCATCCACCATTTCCACCCCATCCACCATTTCCACCCCAACCCCAGTAGGTACGTTTGACGTTTTGGGAAGCAGTTGCTGAAGCAGTAGCAAGAGCAGTAGCCTTAGCAGATCCTGAAGCGGAAGCAGCAGCGTTGTCGATAACTATAGATTCTTTGGTGGCAGTTGGGTGTGGACCAGTGATTGTTGGAAGAGCAACAGCATTAACGGAGGCAAAATCAATGCCTTGAGCAGCTGGTTTGGCCGCAGCAAGAGCTGCAAAGCCTGCAATAAGGAGCGAAGAAGAATGCATTTTAAAAGATAGATGCGAGTTGAAGAAAGAAGAGTGTGTAAAGAATGATTGTGAATGTTGGATGATGAGAAAAAGAAAATAGAGGGAAAGATCAACCTAGATATATGTTTTCATTGAAGTATAGGGAGGACCCTCGAGTCACCAAGAATGTAGACTAGTGAGTGCAAAGTCGGCTTCACCGTGGAGAATAGACGGGCTTCCAGGCGACTAGCTCATGGAAGGAAATGAGAACCCGAAGAATGAATTTTTAGTTCAGCTAGAAAGTACCTGTTCATCTGGATTCTTTATCGCCTAGTCCTTTGATACTAGAATCGCTTGGATTTTCCTCAACTGCGTCGAGCTGCCAATTTGACAAAATTCCCGCAATCCCAAAGAACGTGTAATTCAATGGCAAATAAGCGATGAGTAAATTTTCGGATGAGAGAATGATAAGACGCTTTGAGCAATTAGTGCTCATACTAAAAACTTTAGTGTTGTTAATCCTTGGGAACGCCCGGTGCACTCAGTAAGGTACCCGCCGCTTTGAACCCCCTCAATGCAGGTACCAGAAGACTTCCCGTGCGGACTAATGTTCCTTTTTGGATGAATAATGAGAGTAATCCACAGAGGAAAGCTTAAATAGGACTTCCTTCTCGCCTCTTCAGATATTAGCGTTGTTCTATGAACTAATTATGATCAATGGAGCTTAGTGTACAGAACAAAATTTCCTAGGCGCGCCGCAACAAGCCATGTGCTTATTATATGTAGTCAAAGTCTTGGACAATAGCAACCACCGTATTTAGAAGTTGCTTTGATACTAGAGCTCTGAAAGGCATCAACACTCGTATATGTACACCTCGAGCCACGCCAATCGGAAATTGCATGTAGTCTGTGTAGTCTCTATTTTGGCACATATCAATCGGAAAATTTTGAAGTGTGAATGATGTCCTTAATTTTGATGGATGTAGGGCCAGCACAGTTTGATCGGTCCCCCTTCTTTGAAACACATCTAGTATAACCAAAGCTAATGCTCCTTGCGGCTTCTGGCGTCTGCGGATTATGAACAATCCTAAGCCCACTCATAAACCTGAACTTTCGATATAAATGGTCTTGGCGGTCGGTAAGCACTTCCGAGAAACATTAGTCTTGAAAGAGAGCTTGAACTCAGCAGGCTGAGATGAGAGTCTCCAAGTCACATGATTCCATATAGTACTTCTCATTTTTCTTTTACAAATCTTTGGGCTGCGCCTTCAAGTTGACCGTCTATACTTCTTCGCGATGAGGAACCGGCATCGAGATTCATTGTTCGTTGATCAATGGTTAGTTGGATCGAGAACTGAAATCATCTACGATTGCCTTACTAGAAGAGGGCTCAATGCGATCGTTCGAAAGCCCAAGGAAAAACCAGAACTCAAAACCCAGAGATAGTAACCAGAGGATTTGAGATTGAATTTCAAATCGACAAGCTTTTTGGCTTATTGTCCTTTGTCATCCATTATGGCGTTGAATGTTCATGCCACAACTGAGAAATGTGCTGAACTATCAGATACTCTGAAAAGCTTAATAAGATGGCAAATGCGACTTGTTGTACTGTTATGGTCCATCGGTATCTGACTCTATACAAGTAGAAGTTCTATTACGAGCATTTTCAATCATGTGACATGACATGTCTTTTTCACTGAATAGAGTCAGTTCCTTCTAGGATTATCCATTTGCCGAGTATACTTCCCAGTCTCAAGGAGGACACCCTTAGGTACATCCGTGGGTTCGTATACTCGATGTTGGACATCTCGGGGTTCTTGTTGAATCTTTTGCTCTTTGATTCTTCTTCGAACCGAGGAGATGATCGATGATGATGATGGAGAACCCTTGGTGAAGATCCGAACTAGCTCTCTTATGGAATAGCTCATTTGATCCACACGTGCCCAATGCTGTTCATGTGGACGGGTGAAAACAAGGCGGCACTCATCACATTGAGAACATTTTATCACTTCACGTTGAAATACAAAATCTCATCATATAATTTACGGATATAATACGGTAAATCAAAGACCACTAGTAGGTAACTAGATATAAACAGAGTTCTGGTGGTTCTTCAATTTTGATCCATGATAGGCAATGATTATCTGAATTAACATGGATCATTGAAAATATTGTACCCTTATATATTAGGCATCTCGGTTCTTCCTTCTTCGTTCTGCGGGAGACGTGCGCAGTGTGCTCTCTCAGCCGTGTCAGCTCAGCCCACCCACTCAGAGGTTCATCCAGAGCTCCCGCACGGCCAACAGACTGCACCTTCATCCGATATCAATTTCATCCAAAAATAACTTCACAAATCACTTTGGCCGTCATATCTTCAACCTCATTGTCAAAGCATTGAAATTGCCGACCTCTGTCATCTATTCATCAAGGTCCAAGTTATTGAGCAGCATTACACTTTGGTGAGCGATAAATTTTCTCGAAGTGTCCGAGCATAAAGACATTCACGAAGACATTCACGACTCATTCTTCAATCTGCGCAAGAACACCGATGATTCACTGTTGCAGCCAACTAGAAACATTGATGTGACCGTCCCCAGATATCACCTCTACTCAGCTCTTATCATTTACCTGAGAACGATCCAAACTCTTTCTTTCACCACTCTCCTGTCTGTCATTCATTCTCATATCATTTATCCTCCTGCTGGTGGAGGCAGGCTTCCAACATTTCCGACGAACACCACAAGTACCGCACAGTAACTATGATTCGTTAGTGCATACACTAACACGTCAATGGAAATATTTACGCAGCGGCAGCGGCAATGATTTCATGTCGTTTCGCTCGAGTGAAAGCCGACAATACACCCGAAAATATCAGCGTGAAAACCAGGAGCAACGCTATGAGAACCCCGATGAGTGGTCTTGAAGTCTTGAGATTACTTATAAACCACAGCAGAAAAACTGGCACGATCAACAGAATCAAGACGGCGGCCAGTATTATCAATGTAACCACCACATTGACGCGCTCGGGACTTGAGAGAATGATATTTGAATCTTTCGAATCTGTTTTTTGTTGAAGTTCCTGCATTCAGACGGTCAGTGCAGTTCGCGGGCGCTAACAAATGTTCAGTTCAGACCGTGGTGGAAAATATATACTGTGCTGGAAGTCAGTATCAATGTTCAATCTGCATATATGTCTTTGATAGCTACTCACTCTAGTAAGCTTGCAAGGCAATAACTGTGGTATTTGCTCGATTTTCGTATCCAACCAAGTATTCTCTCGACTAGGTTTAAGAGTGATGAGATCATCTGTTTTGGTAATATAGTCCTGATCTCTTGCACATAATTTTACCTTATAATCCAAGTAGTTCTTGATTTGTAGGCGATCGCTTGCCATCGGTCGATCGAAATTCGCGAATGTTTGTGCGAAAGTCAACAATTGAGCTGCCGTAAATCACTATAGTCAGAAGGTGCTTCCGTATATATTTTTATCAGCAGATTCTACTCACCATACTCTTTCATGCGTTTTTCAATCGTACCTAGAAGTTCCTTGTATTCGCCACTTTCGATGTGGATCCTTTCTCGAGAGTAGTTCCGCTCAGGGAAATTCTTCTCAAACCATTGATCCATATGAGCTAATTGGGATTCAAGCGCTCGTAATTCATCCTGCTTATCAAGGAGGAGTCGTGCTTGTAAGTGACCAAATCTTCGATACATCATGAACTCCTCTTTACAGGCAACAGCCTCTGCCAGGCGAGGATACCCATCAGGCCGTAGGTCAACTAGGCATAATGATTAATATTTGTTAACAGTCATGACCATTGACTTTACTTACTGACATGGGACGTGAACTCTGTCGGAGACTTTCTATCTTTCAGTCCCCGAATATAGACCAAGTATCGTTCCGTCTTATCATCAGGCAATGTACTTTCGAAATCCTCCTGCGTCATACCATTAGGCTTGACCGGCTGCAAAGTTACCGGGTCGAAACTAGCAGGTGGGTAGAGGTGGGTGACATGATTTGCAGCGGCTCCCTTTTCCATAGAATCTTGAACGTTTTTATCAATCGGCATTGCTCTTTTATTTTGTGTCGAATTTAGTATAAATCAGAATCATAATGTAGCGCTATGAGGGTCGATTTTGAAGGTGACGTTCTCGATCAATCACCCGAGATCACAATGCATGAACCTCGTATTGTCAAGGCTTGCCATACCAATGACATAGCTGTCATACTATATTCTAACACGGCTAGCCAATCCACGGAATCATTCACGGATACTTGCATATTTCGGTAAAATCAACGATTTTCATTGGCCCTGAAAACTAGCTACGGCAAACTAACATGTCCTAGAACTAAGCCACAGTGCTCAAGTTCAGATCGGTAAAGGGGTAGCTAGTGGTGTTGGAAATGGACCACCATAATCTTTGCCGGCTTGCGTCAACTGGCCCTCGGGAATTACTACTGAGGCTAATCGAAGACTTGTATGAAATTCAACCCGATACTCCCAAGGATTAGTCGCAATGTTAGAAGCCACTGCTCTGTTTTGGTGACGCTCCGGGTCGGAAACAATACTGCAAGGTATAGAGTCTTGTTTACTTGGGTGCTGCCATAAAACTCGATTCCCAAATGCAAATGTCGCCCCGGGTGCCAGTTGTGTTAGTGGGACAGACTAAATATCATTAGTCACGTGATAATACTTGAGAACAGGAATGTGTGATCTACCGCTGAGCTTCCACTACTTCCGCCGCATAATTTTGCGCATAATTGACCCATCACCGGCTTCTGAGGTCTTTGTGGCATTTTCGTAATGTCTTATTTTATTTTATGAAAAGGTTGGACACCGCAGTTTAAAACTAGGGTGAAGGGAACCTCTGGATCTAAATTATGACTTAAATGGCTACCTTCTCAATATTGAGAGAGTACCCAGTAGGCTCAAGCTATCTAACTCCTTTTATTTTATTCTGATGCTCAGAAAGAGATTTGTGAATCAAAGAAGTCTACAGTTCTACTCAGAATACAGAAGTGTCTGGAAATCTCTCGAGGGGATGTGAATGAGCTCTTTCAGCTGGGTACGTTAACTTTGTTCTTATATGTGAATGAGGATGCTAGAACTGAAGAGAGTCATTCAGTCTCTTAGGGTTTTACTTCCAATCTACATTCTGAAAGTATCATGTCCAGCGACTTGTGAATGGTTATGAAGCTTGTGAATCACAATCAACAAAAAGTATTCATTCACAATGAACACGGAAGCTAATGGTTTCTAAAGATTTTGAGACTTTTGCTACCTCCTGGCAGTGAGAACTTCTTCTCGTGGGGGGATGTAAAGCTATGGACTTAATAAGATGAGATAAATTCATTCAACTTATTCAATATTCATTGCCTACTCATCCCCGAAACACATCCACTATCATATTATGATTCCACACCACCACACATACCGAACCGATCTATTCCACTCAGCCCTTGTCATTCCTACATATTCATCTCATTAACACCCATTCACTAGCTGACAAAAGTTTGCTTTCGCGTCTCATTCGATTCATCACTAGTCATACGCTTATCACGCTCGCTAAACCCCTATGATTTTGATTGACGATCTGATGTAGAGAAACATCAAACATATCTTTAGGATATGAAATTTGTTGCTTTTGGTGATTATCTTGTTGCTTTCATGTGGAACTTTGGTTTGTCATGTGTAGGTTTATTGATTAAAGTATTGTAGATTTCCTGAAAATGTTGTTCAGAGCTGATTTGGTGGTTAAAATGATTTTGATGTTTGAGATGATCTCGGTATTTGAGGTAGTTCAAGATTTGAGAAATTTTCATTACTTACAATGATCTTCATGTTTGAGATCATTCCAGTATTTAAAAGATTGTAATATTCATTGGATATTCCAAAGTTTTGGATTGTTGAATTACACTCCAGACTATTAAACACCTTGTAGTCTACAAAAAAGTCCTTTTGAAAACTCGGTACACAGATTTCTATTTTCAAGCTCTCAAACATTGACAAGTTCCTCTCAGTAAGAGGACTTGCTAAAGCTATTCACAACGATTTTTTTTTTCATTGTATATTTTAAGGAGCTAAAAGCCATGCAAAACACGCGCAAAATACTATCATATCGTTCCCTAATTCATAATCCCATTCAATCTCCTACAAGACCACCTCTAAAGTGCCAGGATCATTTCTCCTACGATTTCAACACTCCCAACAAATAAGACAAGATAAGAAGAGCACAATATCTACATTTATTGTTAGCGTATGAATTTCCATAGAATGGGAGGTGTAACATACGCAGCGGCTGTAGCTAGAACCTCGTGACGTTTCGCGCGGGTAAAGAGCGATATGACTACAGAGAAGATGAAGGTAAAGGGCAGAAGAATTGCCAAGATTGTACCAATGTTGGCGGGGCTTAGAATTGACATTTGGCACAGATACCAGAGAATGCAAACCGGTATGACAAAGAGTGCAAGAACTGTGGTCAGGAGAACAAGTGATGCTATTGCATTGACGCGATCAGGGTCGGATAGGAATATTTTCGTAGTTTCAGGGTTTGTTTTCTGTCGCAATACCTGATTAAAATGGTGATTAGCATGCGTCTCTTCATATATCGCATCAATCTCGCAGATGTTAGACGAACTGTAGTACAGAATATGTACTATATCAGGGTGTCAGTGGCATTCAACACACCAGCGTCATAGCTAAACTCACGCGTGTCAAGCGGCATGGAAAGTACTGCGGTATTTGTTCAATGACCGTGTCCAACCAAGTGTTATCTCTAGTGGGCTTGAGAGTGATGTGGTCATCTTTTCGCAAGAGCCATTCACTATCCCTATAACAGAGAGGATTACTATCGGAGTAGTCCCTCAATCGCAGACGATCTGATTCCCTGGGTTTATCGAAGCTTGCTAAGGTTCGAGCATGCGTCAAAAGTTGACCTAATGTAGACAAATTGTCAAATCGATTCCTCCATCGATGATCCAATCACACTTACCATATTCATTGAATTTCTTTTCGATTTCAGCCAGAAGATTCCTGTTATCGTCATCCGTAATATTGAAGCGTTCTTGGGAATAGAGCATTGCGGGCTCGTACTTTCCATAGTACCTATCTTTATGATCGAGCCGAGCCTCTAGCGCTCGCAATTCGTCTTGTTTATTGAGTAGAAGTCGTGTTTGCAAAAAGCCAAATCGTCGATAAAACATGAATCTTTCATCACTATTGATGGCAGCCGCCAGCTGAGGATAGCCCTCAGCATGCAGGTCGACTGCGTTTGCATCAGTATGGTGTTCATTCATCGAGCTTGGTTCCTTCAACTTACCTACGGAGATAATGCTTTGGTCTGGCTGCTCCCTATTTTTGATCCCGCGTAGATATTGCAGATAGCGTTCAGTTTTCTCATCCGGACATCCTTGCTTGAATTGTTCGTCCGTGATACCATCGGGTCTTATTGGCATTAATGTTTCAGGGTCGAAAGAGATATTTACTGTAAATTCAGGAACTTCTTTCTTCATATATACGCTGATCTCGCTCGGTGGTGGGGTACTCATATTGGGTGTTTTGAGACTTGAGTTATTGTTGTGGGTGGAGATTTGATTTGTCGTTTGTACTTCGATTGTTGTGTGCAGTCTGGAGACTTAAATATACGTCTGACTGGCTTCTAGGGAGGTTGCGAGTCATTGTTGCTTATGAGTCACTATGGGCCCATGAGGTTGTGGTGAATTGAGAGCAAAGTTTGACTTCACACAGATGAAGCTGTGTGCATAGCATCTCGATAACATCAGAGGAAAATCACACAAATATACTGAAATCCACACAGATAAATGCATTGTCATATCGTGTTTAATCAAAGTTATTTCAGCTGTGTGTCTGCGCTGGTGTAGCTCGTTTGACTGGCTCAATTTCAAAACCATCGAAGCTCATGACAGTGAACGTTTAACCGCTCCCAAGTCACTGGCAATGGTGTTTTGTATGCATCTTGTTTCAAAGCTGGTCATACAGCCTTCCCTGAACGATGGCTATAGAATCTCTATTAGGAGCAATATCATCGTAATTCCCTCAATACAGTCGTGGCTGTTGCTGGGGATCTCTTCAAATTTCTCAAATTTGTCATCACGTCACTGGCATCGATATCCTCGTGCGCTTTACTTGTGAATTTTTTGAAATTCCCCCCAAAGCTAAGACATATCCACCACCTCGTACTCTACTTCCAAATACGACTCAAATACCTGGACATACAGATGTTATCTCTCACATGATGCTCACTTGACAATACATTTTTTTTTCATTACTGGGATGTATGATTGCATCTCCCACATTATTAATTATTCATAGAGCCTGGCCGATCTACCTTGGGATTAGGATAGGCCCTCTCAACCAGATCAGACTCTGCCACCGGCCTATCCGAGACATGAGCCCGAGTCTCCCCATCATTCAAATATCGAACAAAATACGCATGCCAGTGGTATCGACTATTCGCGTTCTCTGCAACCACGATCCTCTCGCGTTGACCTTCGCCGGCGAGAGTAGGACCCGAAACCACGACTGCGTCCGCAAACTTGTTCTCCCCTCGGATCCATATGACACGCGATAAGACGCAGATTTTCGCGTCGGGACAGCGTTCGCCTTTGTAGATTAGGGTGGGATCCTATATCGGTCAGTTTCTCTGTGTATTGGGAAGATATGGAGTGTTACCTCCGCATTTTTATCGTTGTAAGCGCGCAATTTTTCCTGGGGTGTCCTTCCTCTTCTTACTGGTGGCATGTCTGTTATTTCAGTATTTATTTCCCCGTCTCTACTCCGGAATTGAGCTTTTAAATTTATGCCCCGAATAGATATCAAAGTGCAAGTCAAATTATGGTAGCTTCAAGACTAGATGGGCGAAATGATTTTGACGGTGTAAATTTGGGCGGGGCTGGAGAGCAATATATGTGAATCAAGCCACCCTTGAATGTTTCTCACCTGTTGCTCAATGATATATTCACATGAACCATAGCAGCGTTTGTCAATCACGAGTTAGTCTCTGGAGGTGTTTGATCTTGGACTTACGATCACAAATTAGTAAGGTCACAAGTGTTCGATAGTACAGGAGGATGTGTCATTCTCAGCAGAAGACGAGAATAAGTTTCCCGAACCGTGTCTCTAATGACTTAAGGTCATTCACCTACGTTAGTACAGTTATTGCAAGCAAATCTGTTAGTATCAAGTCACCTGCTAAGCGATCAAACCCCTCATTCCGCGGGAGAAGAACGCTCATATATATAATGCACAACTAACAGGCTTAAGTGTTAGACTTTCTTAGGGTTTGAGTCTGAGATTATCGAAGAAAATCGCAAACACTGGTGCTTTTTACAACATTTGTGCCAGACCGAGAAATTCATCGCAATGTCCAATCCATCAAACGCCTTCGGTGACCCTCCAGCTCCATCACCACTCTATGATCCATTCGCAGGCAAGGTATTTGAGGTCAACTCTCGTGTGTATTGGACTAATCCCACATATCTAATTTGGACACCATCGGTACCTGTCTCTATCCGCGCCACCATTTTGAAGAAGCATGAAAACCCCGCTGTTCCTGCATCTTCTTCTGCACGTATCTATCAATCACGGAGAATTTCCCAGGCGAAAGCCGGAGATGTGGATGAATGGTATGATATCATGTTATTTAATGGCGCTACAAAATGTAGAGTCAATGGCAAAGAGTTAAGCTGGCGTCCAGTATTGGAAGGGTTGGAAAATGGTCAGTAGCTTGGAATTTTGGAGTATGGGGTGGGGTTGCTTGGTAGCTTTGAAGATGATGATAGTTACTGGGATTATGCTTCTGTGACTCGTTTTCGCCATGTAGATATCTGAGGATACTCATACTTAGAGACTAGATATGTACATTTAATCTGTCTTCTCATTAATGTTAGAACCTCCTCTTCCCGAATCTGCACAACCTTGCTCTCAAAGATCTTTTTATGGATTTAATCTTACAAGACCAGACTCAAAAAGAAGAACTGTTGCAAGTGAAGTGAAATGTTCGATCTCTGAGCGTGTTCCTTTCGACCAAGAATGCTCAAAGCTTCCGAATTACTTTCAACTTCATAGTAATCAACAAAGAAACAAGCACCAACTACATCTCCGTTCGTCTGATTCGGTTCTCAATCGATTAAAATCAGTATAGTGTTCACGTCGGTGAGACTCTATGGCACCTGCGTGCACCTAGGAGATACAGAAACCCCGTGATATGACTTGCTATGATTTGACCAAGGATTCGTTGACATGCAGAGTGGTTATAGTCAACATGTAGTTTGCGACTTGGGAGGAACACAATAACAGAAGTTTGGCTCATGAATGGGGAATGATAGTGGTCTGCTTACAATATCTCTTGTAATACGTTGGAGTCAACCTTCGAACTCCGAACAATTCACTGTCGTCATATTTAAAGCTATCCACTTACATAAGAGGAAAATTGGATGCCAAATCAGTAGAATTGAAAGTAACATTATCCTTGATTCACTAGAAACTCGTTAAATCGCTCTTAGGCTCACGAGATATTATATCAACACAGGGCACTGAAACTTTCCCGACTCAAATAAAAAAAGCAACCATGTCGCGCCGACCCCAAACTCCTTTCATGGAAGCTCTGTTTTCCGATTCTTCGAGAACTAATCCCTCGGTTGTTCGTCATACCCCCCATTTATTTAATACCCTGTGTCTAGATACAAACTCCAGCTAACAGATTACGGGTTCCACAATCCGCGGAAGCATTCAAAACAGGCGACATACTCTTTTGGACCTGTCACGAAGGAACTACACCTCCTCCCTCACCACCACCATCATCTTCTTCATCTTCTTCTTCCTCAACCAACAGCTCAAACCACAATGCTAAAATTCGTGTTACTGTGGTCAAGAAACACGAAACCGTTATTGCGGCACCACGTTCAAACCAAGCAGTAAATTCGAATGGGGCTTCGAATACCAGTACCACTAGAACTATCACACCCGAAGAAGTTAGCGTTTTTTATGATGTACGAGTCGACGCGGATACGATAGTGCAAAAGGTCAATGGAAAGGAGTTGACATGGCTCTGATTATTAAATTCGGTCGGAATTGCGAAGAAGTAGAGGATGTTGATGTGAAATGGCAATATGGGTTGATCTGGTCTTGTGTAAGAATCATAGGTCTTGAACACATGGCTGGGTTTGGAATAATAGAAGTCGTTAATTTTGATGCCATTTTTTTGAATTTTTGTTCTTGGCCGGTTGTAATTTTCATATTGGGATATGAATTCCCCATCAGCTGCTACTACAAGGTTTAATGATAAAAAATTGTTTCAAGTTAATTTGATAATCAAAGCAGTTTGAATGTTTATTGATGATTGAATGTTCCAAGGCTTTTGATTGTTAAACTAAAGTCCAGACTATTAGACACCCTGATAAAGTCTCCGACATCAGCTCAAATTGTCTCTCGAATAACCTCCGTACAGCTCAATTGTATACTTACACTGTGATTGCCATAAGCCTTCTCAAATATAGGCATAAATTTCCAGAAGAGTTCTACTTTGATGAAGTATCAGTGTTCCCGAGCAACTCTGGAGTGAATTACTTGTATGTTTGCACTTTCAGCTAGTGATTCAGAGTCGTGATTTTGTAAATAGTTGCTAATTATGCGTTTTGCAGACAGAGTGAATCTGGAACTACTCAAGAGCGTAATAATCTTCAGTTATATAAGTCAGAACTTGCGTATAAACAAGAAGCTGCCGTAGTAGAAAATCAAAATCTAATTATTTCAAGAAAATACTAGTCGGATTCTGTCCTCTTTAAATACCACTAGTTGATTTCAATTTCAATTCTAATTACATCACAAATATCAGTCAAAAATCTCTCGCCATGATTTCGAACTCCATCCAAAAGCCGCTGATGGGCAATTCCTGCTCTAATTGCTCTGATGACACATCCATTCTCCTATCTGTCCGCTTACCCCCTACTCACTCGCGAAATCTCAACTAACGAACTTCAGGATCCTACAAAAGTAATTTTCAGGAAAGGTGCTCATGTTTATTGGACCGGAAAAGGAGAAATATCCACAGCACCTAAATTTGACATCCGAACTACACCAGAAACTAGCAACGTTATTATGAATCGAGACTCGACATCTGGAATTCCTTCGAGCATTGGTGCTTCGACTGAAAATGCTAAACTCATCATCGTTACCATAAGATCAGATCGCATGAGAGAGGAGATTTGTCCCGAGGAAGGGCGAGGGAATTTCAACATTAGGTGCTGTTATATGATAAAGTTGGGGAATGGAGAAGTGAAGAAGGTTGAAGAGGGACAGCTAAGTCGGATAGCAAAGGATCGATAAGGCTCCGTTGAGTTTTGGCACTCTCTCCCATATACCATGGTATAAATTGATATCTCAGAGTAAATAATGAATCAAAGTTGTTCAGATTGGAATGGTAGATTCTAATTTACCAGAGTCAATAACTGATAATCGAATGAAACTCGAAATGATGTTTTATTAATTTTCCAGTCACTTTGGCAAGACCGATTTTTCATTCTGGTACGCCACGAATAGAGTGTTGCCGGTTACATGGAAGCATCATATTGATTGAAGAATATTGACGATCGCGAGGAGTTATATCTCCGTCAGAATGTCTGCATACACATAATCCCACGCCACTCTCGAATACCCCTTTTCAAGCATCGCTAGAATCTCCCCACTAAACACGAACATCTAGATTTCATTTATCCTCCTATCGATAATGTGACCCTAGCAAAAACCCTCAAATCTTCCTCCCTAGCCCTGCTCATCACCCTATCACTAGTCGAGTGTTGAGGAGGCCTAACCATGTACTCAAACCCGTGAGTACCTTCCATTCGGGTCGATTGTACTATGACGTATAAGTAATTGCCGTTGGTAGTCCATTGTGCGTGATCTCCAGGGAGATAGGGAGGAGATATAACTGGGGGAGCGCTGTTTGACATGGTGATACGGTATGTTGTCCTGTTGTTTTGTAGACTTTTTCTGATTCCTTTGATTTGAATTGGTTTCAAAACCAAGAGGGATGTGAATAGGAATGTTTACAATTATGAGCGCAAAATTTTCATTCTTATATGGGAAGAAGATGAACGAGCACACGTCTGTATACATGACTCAGAGTTTCAAACACGGATTTCAGAATATCGGCGTTTGTGGAAACATTGTCAACAGACCTTCATCACCAGTAGCAATACAAACATCGGCATTTAAAAGGTTAGTCACTATCCTCGAATTAGACTCACAATGATGATAGGCTTCTTCATTATTGTGTACATCTGCAGGCAAGACATACACTCCATCAGAAAGGTTTGCTCGCATGCTTCTGAACATATCAAATACCACAAGAAGAGAAAACCGCGTAGGAATCTTATATCACTTGGTCTTCCTCAAATCTCAATTTCAACTCACATGAACTGCATCTAAGCAACCCCTCCCGTATCATTTAAAATTGCCGCACTACAGGTAGCTTCGCTCTTTCCTCCTGATCATGAACGGTTGGTATCGACACATTCGCATTTGATCAAATCGCGTTTGTCGGCTGTCCTTCTCATCCTTTTATGAATGGAATGGCACATTCCATATGGCCGGTAGCTAATCCCGAGAATACCGCATCAGATGTATGATTTCTTCCGTCCGAGCAGATGTTACTTTAAAGAGGAACCCTGTCTGCAAGGTCACTTGAAAAACACAATTGCTCTGTAAAATTGATATGATTTGAGATTTAAAGTCCATGAGATATCAAAGCTACATCAATATAAAACCTGACATCAATTCAAAATATGATACAACATTCGTACAGACCCTAGTCCTACAATCAAAACCTCCCTGTCAATCGCCATCTAGCATCTCGCTTCAAGCGCCAACGTCTAATCCTTAAAAATCTCAAATTAGCCTGGTGTCGAATATGTTTCGCCGCATCTGGATAAGGGAACATCTTCGTCCCTGGTAGACAATCGTCAATCTCAGCTATTGCCTCTTCCAAGCTTAGGGGATTCAGAATTCGCGCTTGTCGATTCGCTTTGACAGTGGATCTTCCCGGTCCGTAGAGAATGATCAAACGATTGACAACTGCTCTCCTGATTGCATGTGGTTCGATCTCTACGCCCATATGGTGAAGTTCTCGCAAAAGTACAATACCATTCGTGATATTGTATGTTACTTTCTTACTCGCGCGGACAAAGCCTGGATCCTTTGGCGATGGGCTCGCTAACGCTCGTTGGAAACCCCATTCTACAATGGCTCTTTGCAGACTGGGTGGGAAGAGACGCTTGAGAGGATGTTGATGGTGCCACTTGGGAACCAGATCATCTGGAACTTGCGTGCTATCTCGAATTCGTAGATAATTTGCACCAGGTAGAAGATCATGATTTTTTGAGCCATACCAGGAAGCTAAAAACATGCACAAATTATGTAACTCTTTTTCGCGGCCAAGCATTCCTAGTCGCCGAATGATTTCGGTCCAATGATGTACTGGAACTGATGAGCCGGATGTCATGATGCCTGTCAGAATCTTGGTAGCCATATTTATATCATCGAAACTATTGTGCTTAGGGTCCATTACTGGTCGCCGACCGCGCCGACGTGGTCGTAAGAGTTGCCGCAGAATACAGGATATCGAAGCTGGTTTCACCGGTATATGATTTATCCGCATATCGGATAACGTCTTCAGCACAGCGTTCCATTGGTGTCTGATAACGCAAATCCTAAGGTGTATGTTGTAAACGTCAAAATCAGGAGTTCTACTTCCGACTAATCGTATGGCCATCGCTTGTCGGAATTCGGTTAATTGTTCTTTGGCTGCGTATGAAGCCAAGAGTTTCTCTTGGAGTATCCAATCGTCAAGTGCTGCAGGATGCTGGTCGCTGTTCACCAATGCGTTTACGAATTCTTGATTTTCCTCCCTTGCAAAAAATTCAACAGCCTTGACGAACTTCGACTGACCAGGAGATATACCAAGATCTGCAAGCTGATCGAGTCTCTTAATGATAGCTTTGGTATCCGGATCCCGCAGAGCAATGGACTGAAATGATAGGGGCCCAATTTCTTTGACTCCCAGTGCGTGGATGGATTGTATGGATACATCTAATGGCACCCAAGTTGTAGCAAGCCATCGAGCTCCCAATTCATCATCATATTTCTTAGGTTTAATATGAAAGACTTCACCATGAATAAGATTCATCATCTCTCTAGATATACTTTGCGTGTCTTTAAGCTCATGCTCTAGACCAGGAGGTATGGATATTCCTGCATGTACCAAGCTGCGGGCAACCCGAAGAGCCAACGGGCTTCTGAATTTTGTCAACAGTCGAATCAGATCTTCTGTAGGTCTTGCAGTTTTGGGAAAGTCTTTTTTCTGAAAAAGCGAGAAGTGCCATTTGTATGCAGATGAATATTCTTCTCGATGATATAATGGTACCATGATGCTGGAATATGATACATGAAATTTACTTCCTTCATAAATCTTCCGCAGAGCTTCGATATCTCCCCCGAGAGTAATCACTCTGAAACATAATTTCTCGAAGGCTTTAGTCTCTGGTAAATGATGCACCATTAATCTTCGATGCCATTGAAATGCTTCGGCGCCCCTGTGATTCATTAAAAGATGATACATGAGCCTCGTATAAAGCCCATTCCAACGTTGACCGGTTTGCTGCAGTAGACCATCCGCATATCGAATGATGCTTTCGAGTACAGCTTTGTCTCCTAGGCCTAAATCTAAAAAGGCCCTCCACATTGTCCAAGATGCCAAACCTTCGACTGGTAATTGGATGTTCCTAGTGATTATTCCATCCCAGATCATCCTCACTCCCTCATCACCATAAATTCGTTGCCTATATACTAAGAGCACCGCCCAAAGTTCAATGTCTTTCTCATAAACCGGATCATCGACTAATCGTAGTGCGCCTTTCCGAGCCCTTTCTGATACACGCGATTCATATTCGAGTTCGCCAGGTGTGAAGTAATTTTTCCATCTATTGTAATTTTTGGTAGTCATCGATTTTGTATCGGCGGGAGGCATGGCTGTGCTGGAGCCATTTGAGGCTTTTTTCGAAACCAAATGCCGTACAGCTGGTTGGGTGGTAACAAGGTTATCATGTTGTGAGTCATACTGATTGGCAGCTTCAAGCCCAATGCCGATACTTGCGTAGTTCCGATTGCATCTCTTACCAGCACAATCGTATTGAATGTTGGCGGACGGCGGGGTATTCGATGCGTGTACTAGATATCGAAGGAGATTCAATGATGAATATCTAGAGATGAGTCGTTGTAACGCAGGGCGCATTATGATGCGCCGTCCCTTGAGATTTCGGTCAGATACTTATACAGATCCATCACTGCCATAGGAAGTATCGCATGCTTTTCATTAAAGCTCATAAGTTAGTCGAGCATTGTCATTCTTCAAAATATTTTGGGGGCTGCTTTGGAAATTGAAAATGCTTAGTCATTAACACTAGCGCGGCTTTGAATCCGAGCTTCCTGCGAATTCAACATCGAACCACTTCCTCGAATACCCCAAACAAACCGCAGTAACGCCTCGAATACAGACACAATGGTTGGGTAAGTGATAATCCTAAGTCTTTACAGGACCGCGGCATATGTTGAGAGGTTGCGAAGAACACGGCTGCATCCGACTCCATCCTTCATCGAACCTGCGAGAAATTGTTGCAAGCCCATATACTGACTCTTTCAACCCAATAGCTACAAACTCCGCGAGAACCGCGTTCCTTACTACCAGGCGCTCTTCCAAGAAGGTGCTAAGAAGCACATTCGTCAATGGAACCAAACTACGTAAATTGCTCTCTATTCCCAGGCATGGGGGTGGGGGTAGAAAATACCTATGGCTATAATGAAGGACAATTCTGATAAGTTATGCAGACTTCTCGCAGCAAGATCATGCTCTACCCATACTACGTCGCTCTTTGGGGAGGTTTCGCCGGTATGTACAGCATTCTATAAGAGTCAGGAACGGTTTGGCTGATAATTGAACAATAGGATCTATGTACATGATGTCGAGAATGGTTTTGGGACACAAGACTTGGTTCGGGAAGGGATAGAGGTTGCGAGTGAAACGAAAGAGTATGTGGTTGCTTGAGATCTCGAGGAGCGCGGCGGTGTACATTGAAGTCAAAGGATAGATCAATTTCATTATACCTCGAATACTTGGCGACAAACCCCCATGGAAATGCAACACCTTACTGGCCTCAATGATATATGTACCTTCTCAGTTCCACGTCAGATCAATCATTACCCATGGATTCATTTTACATTTCAAGATTTTCGTGAAGTTTCCTCTTCAATTCTCGCCTAATTATCTCACATTGTGGGAAAATGACGTTTCTTCACAACAATACTTAGTCCTACATCACAAGTGTGAGAGATATTCAAGTTTAAGGTTGGCTACACATGTTTCTGAGCGTGCCTGACCCCATGTCACATCGTCGAAATGGTCCAATACTTTTATCATGTTATTGATTCATTCCAAAAAAATCTTCTCATGGGAATGTTGATGATGACGAGCAGTTATACTCTTTCTAGTAAATGAAAGGCCTTTCGGTCAATGTCTCCGCTGTTCATATACAGCGCTACATTTGAGTTCAATTTGGGTTCAATCTTTGAATCACATGACCTGATGATTAGTTCCCGCTACTATAAGAACAGCCCAGAAGCTAGGTAGATACATTAGATTGTGCACTATACATAGCAATCTGATTTAAATTACACAGCTTGTTCTCAAGGCCTTGTTCTTTGGAATACAAATACAAAAGGAACTTCCCCATGACTTCCAGACCTCTTCCTGAAGATTCAAGAATCCCTAGATTGTATAATCTATTACAGCGAGACAGAAGCAATACCCCATTTTACGATATGAATGATATTCGCAAAAATATTGATGTCATGATTTTCTCGCTGGCTATAGAACATAGATCTAAGCTAAGCTCACAACAACAAGCTAAGTAAAGATTCTTTTCAGAATGTACTAGTAATCTTCTCTTCGTTCCTCAGATGTTACTATTGCCCCCCATTACCATCACAAATAATATCATAGACATTTCAATCGTCATTCATCTTCATTCTATTTATCATCCTCATCCTCATTTTCCTCATCCTCATTTTCCTCATCCTCATTTTCTTCAACTGCAAATTAGACCGAAAAGAACCTATTTACTACTCTTTTCTGTTCATCTTGTGAACATGAATGAACAAAACAAGCCGCTCCCTACCATTCACGATCTCCTAGCGCTCGTGCAGCCAGAAATACGACGTGCCGATATACAATTACCAGTCGAATTCTCGCCTATTTCGCCGCTGGCTATGAAATGATGAGTCGACTTTACGTAGACAAGCCGGTGAAATGTTTAATAACGTGGAGTAGTATACGCCGGGGGGCGGTCAAGCCTTATTTTTGGCAGTCATTGGTTACAATTTTGCTTATACAGCAAACCCTTTCAGTTAGATTTTGGCTGTTTGCATTCAGATTGTGTATGCCCAGACGAGTTCCCTATCAAGCTCTAATGCTAAGGATATAACCACTTAGTTACATGCATGCCATGTTCTGCATTCCGCTCCTCTGTCTGCTCACGTCACTTACACAATATTGCGAGAAGAGCTTGTACAATTTTTCGTGGATCATCGCGGCCATCACGTGGCCATGTGTTTTCGCTGAAAGATGGGATTTGTGGAAGAAGTTAGAAGGAGGGCTAGAAAAACTTATAGAGAATCACGCCGTTCAAGATTGATGCGAAGATGAAATTAAACCTGTTTCTTCCTCTATCAATCAATTTTCATCTCCGGTGGTTGAACTACATTGAAATCGAATTTTCTTTTGCGTCTCGGATTTCGTAATTTCTCGACCCAGACAAATTTCTTTCACTTTTCCTAAACTCGCTTCCCTTCTTCACACTCCTTTATACACGAGCCACCATACCCTTCATCTAGTTGCTTTTAGTGTTCGCGCATCGATATCAATCAAGTCATTCCTTCAAATAATCTCAATCCAGCGTTTAAGGTAATGATCATTCATTTTCTACTTCACTCTCATTATATTCTTAGCACAAGGGCTATCATAGACACTCAACGCGATAGTCCCTTTTTACGCATTATACTCGCTATCTTAACTCCCCAAATTCATCCTTTGCTTTGGTTATAGTACAGAGATACCATCCTAATGAGAAATCGCAGATGAAATGTCTCGATTGATCGTCGAGTAACCATGAGAAACCATCAGCATGGTATCCCTTCTTGCTCACTTCATGAATATCCCACTTCTTTACCTCCCACTTACTCACCCTCGTTTTCCTAGGATTCAACTTTCAAGACATCCATAATCCATCACAAATCCACAGTCCCTGAAGCAACCCGACAGCCGAAATCCACACGACTTGACAAGATTAGCCCTGACTATAGGACCGGGCATGACGGTCAATACATCCTCAGCGCATGAAACAACAATTTACATGAATATCGAGTGAGCAACATCAACTATCTCTCAACAAAAGGTCGGACACCCAAACTCGTTCGGGTAATCATAGCAGACATATAAAATCATGTCTTCTCAAAGATTCGAATAGTCCAAATTCACAAATTTATATCAAGTCACATCAAAATATGCAATATCTCCCTCGAGTTTCTGGCACACCTGTTAAACATGTACAATTTGATTTAATTCAATTCAAATTATCTCATTATCCCTACTAACTATCGTAGCCGCAAACCATGGTATATTCGACAATCTTTAATTTTGCGTCTTTTGTTCTCTGATATGGTAAAAGCTCCTCCCGCTTCAGTAATCAGTACATATCCTACATCCCCAACCCTGGAATAGACATTTATTTCCAATCCTTGAGCCCCCATCCTCTCTTGCCGTCTCAAGCACCCGCACTATCCTGTCTCAACATTTCCGCAACATCCGCATCTAACCCCTCCATAGCGTCCCCTCCCATGTCCGGAAAATCATCATTCAACTTCCTCTTTTTAATGCTACTCATCGAGTTGCTACGTCCATAACTAGTAGAAACACTACTTAGCAAATCCAAACCGGAAGTTGGTGACATGGCCATAGATTGGGATGTATAAATCGAACCATTAGTAGCAGCCGCCGAGGAGCTGAGGTCAAAGTCCGGAAGTGACTCTTGTTGAGTGGTTTCTTCCTTCATGGGGCGCAATGGAGGCGATAGAGGTTCAACTTCCGGACGATCAGGTTCAGATTTAGGAGTACCCATTTGATTTCCTGGACTGCCATCCGCGGGTGTACTCTCGCTGCTGTTTGCGAGGCCCCGCATAATACTGTCTTCCACATCCCTCTTTTTAGTGTCGATTTCATTACGTCGCGAGGAGAGCAGATTGAGCTGAGCCTCTTCTTCTGCTAGGGCATTACGGTTTGTCTCTAGCAGTTTCTCCAGTCCTTCGATCAGCAAGTTACGCGATTTAATAACTTCAGCCACAGCTCCTTCAGCGTTTGCCAAAGTCTTGAGGAGGCCATTGAGTCGAGCAGCATGGACTGGCGGAGACGGAGTTGGCGTATTTGGATCTGTGAGCTTTTCGTAATCATTGTTCGCAGAATTCGTAGAAGTCTTTGTAGAAAGCACCAATTTGGATATTGTTTGCTGTGGTCCTACAAGAGGTTGAAGTTCGCTTGGCGCCGACGATGAATTGTTGGAGAAAAGGGATCCGCCCAATCCTTTCTTGTTTGAAGATCTTGATTTCTCTAGTTCTGCGATTATCAGTATAAGCTATTTCAAATCCGCAGACTGACCTACCCTCGATTCGAGCCTCGACCGCCTCTTGTATCGGAATTTCGAAGATCTGTCTCTGTCTCCAAACTTCCACGACTCTCTTCAGCTTATTTTGGACATCGCTTGTAGCTCCCTTATAAGCTGTAGCTGTAGCCTCTGCGATTACGGGAGAAAATGCAATGAGAAAATCATCCTTGCGCCGAGCTTTTGATTGTTGTGCGACTTCTGTGAAAGACATAAACATTAGACATGACCTAGATAAATGGACCATATGTTTGCACGTTTTGGGTGGTAAGGACAAATTCGAGTTAAAATTAAAATAACTTGCCGTTTGCGAGGTACACCAGATTCAATCTCTTATTACTTCCGGAATCCTTCAATTTTTGAAGCCAAAGTTGTCCAGTACGGTCGGCATATCTCCTAGACAAAGGATAAGCACATTGGAAAGTCGACGAGGTCAATCATATCTGCCTACCTATGAAACATAATCCATTGCGCAACAGTGACCTAAGAATTAGATTAGTTCGGCCATTCATTACCTGGGATCAAAAACGGTACTTACAATACTCTCCTGTGTCTCGTTCAAAGCAGAAAGTTTTGCCAGAACGGCATCATCGTTGTAGGCCATTTTTCTTACTTGGGACTTGATGGGAAGAAATGGCGAGTATTCAATGAAGTTTTTGTTTGTATTCAAGTGTTTGCTTGTCGGCGTCTGCTTGCTCAATTGAATTTACAAGGTAAAAGAACGGCTTTGTTATACACCAGCAATCCAGATTTCACTTATTAAATGGCGAAAAACAATTGATAAGAAGATAAAACTTTCCAGAGATAATCTCCGAATATTGATGATCCTTTATGTCTACTCAATTTGATGTGAAAAGGGAAATCTGAGTTAAATTGTGAGTTTTTATGTTGTTTGCATCTGGGAGTTCGTTCTCAAGCTCTCCAAATAATCCTTAGTGTCGGTAACTTCCGTGCTAGCACCCCGGCTTTAGGCGCATGTGTAATTGGCATTTGGTATCATCGTATTAGGAACAGACAGCTTGCGATTTCGAATCAAGAGTTACACATAACCAATACTTTAGATTTCAAAATGGCTGATAGATTCCCTTCTCTTGAGGACTTTGACTCTGGTGGTAAGTTCAGTTTTGCAAAATTAAATGAGAAGTAATGTGTACACTTTATTAACAACACGATTTACAGCGCAAACAACTCAAGGCGACTCTACTTTTGAAGGAGGTGCCGATGACTTCCTAAGTCGTGAGAAGGCCCTTTTGGGTGACGATGCGGATCAATTTGCTACTGGCAATGACAATGCCGCATTTGTAGAGGATGGTGATGATGATTTATTGGGTGGAGGCGGAGGAGAGGATGTTCATGAATTTGAGAGTTCTTTCCCTGCCATTGATACTCGCAATGAGGTATGTCATCTCCATTACTAGTTTCGTTTTCAAGGGAAGCTAATAATCACAAAATTAGAATGTTTCACCAAGCGGACAAATCACCAGCACATACACCAACTACCAGCCCCAAGTTTCCGACGAAGAAGAGCCAGAGGTCATCAAGCAATGGCGCGAACGTCGAGATCTCCAACTTCAAGCGCGTGAGGAGAGATCCGAAGAAAAGAAGCAAGAAACTATCAAGACTGCCCAACAAAATATTGATGATTTCTACGAGAACTACAACACCAAAAAAGAGAAGACAATTGCGCAGACTCGTCGTGAAGCTGAGGAATTTTTAGCAAGCCGAGAAGATACATCTGCCGGTGGAACTAGCTGGGAGCGTATTGCGAAATTGGTTGATTTGAGTGGAAAGGGTGCTAGAGGCGGTGCAAATGGTACTGGAAAGGAGAAGTTCAGAGAACTTTTGATGAGCTTAAAGAAGGATGAGAAGGCGCCTGGTGCTACTGGATATTAGAGGGGGTTTGGCTGGGTGGATTGGGTGATCTCTCTATGGACTTGTAAGATCGTACAAGATGGTTGTTTGTTTCGTTCAAGAATTGCCTAATCGGATCTTCTGGGCAAAGGGGCGTTAAAAATGAATGGCACAGACACGCATACCTATTAAAGATTTGTTTATAATACCTAACATTGCTCCTGAATGCTGGACTTTGGGATGTGATTACTATTTACTTATTGAGAAAGTCATAATACCCATTGCTGGTTTCAAGCTATTCTTTTAAATCGCACGGCGTGTTTCCTTTTTCACATCATTTCGTTAATTTCTTCACCATCTACCCCTTCCCCTGATCCACAGACACTTATTCCGGATCACCGTAATTCTCATCCAACGCTCTTTGTCTTTCCTGTTCCTCGAATTCCTTCAATGCAGCCTGTCCTTCCTCGGTCGTAGCATCAATAATTTGTTCTTCAAGTTGCAACATACCGCCCTAGATGTGTATTAGCATGTCATATGAACACAGATACTACGATATGAACTTACCTCGCTGAGCTGGCCTACAACTTCTTCTGCTTGTTCGACGCTCATTTTGCCTAATACCTTATTGACTTCATCCAAGCTACCACTTTCCAAAGCTCTTTGCAGTCCAGGTGGGAATGCATCGAATAGTTCTCTCGATTTAATCACCTCTGGATCCTCACTCGTCGCAGGTGGAACAGTAATGTTGATAGTGGTACCAGGATCAACAGCATGAAGTTGAATTTGCTCAACTCCGCCTTCGGTGCCCTCTTCAGCTGCTCTCTGCTTCTGGATTTCCCTAGCTCTAGTACGGACTCTGTCAAATGTTGAGTTGACATCATCGAAGAAGACCTTTTGGGCTTGGTGACCCTTAGTAGTGATACGCTTGAAGAACAAACCAACACCGTCCTTTCCTAGGGCCCTGCAGTATTGAAGTAATAAAGCTTGGTGAACACATTGCCTAGCATAGTCATCTTCGTTTGCGATTGCAGAGTTAAATGCCAAGACAAGTAAGCCGTCGGTCTCTCTTTCTGCAAGCACTGACGGATTTGAGGAGATATACTGAAGACATGTACGATAGTCACCCATCTTAATTTCTGCAAATTTCTTTCCAAGCTCGCTAGCTTCTACGTCATCATCATCTTCCTCTTCATCCTCATCAATGTCTGCATCGGCTCCCGAGGATTGTTCGCCGGGCTTCGAGCCACCCTTATTGGCGAGGGCATGAGGATTCAGGACTTCCACAGCTTGGACCTTCTCTTTGGCCTTCTTTGATTCTGTGGCCGTTGGTTTTGGGTCTGCCTTTGCTACAAAGGAGCTGTCAAATCCAGTATGTATGCTCTCACTAGTGATCTTCTTTCCCTCCTCTTTCTCTAAAGTCTCCAGTTCGACCGCAAGTTGTTTTTGAAGGTCCTCAACCCTTTCTTGATGTACTTTGATTTCGGCGAGATACGCCTCGAATCGGTTTTCTGGCTTGTCCTCATCGACCTTTGTTTTGACTTGATCAATAAGCGCGGCCATCATCTTAGAGTATGTTGGTGGTGCCTCCTTGACATGAGTATGCACCCCTTCTGGAGGTGGAGGTGGAGAGTCATCTTCGCCAGTTGATTCCATCAATGCTTGAAATGCAAGATCATCCGGACGTTTATCAGTTTGAGGACTGTAAGATTTCAAAGCAACAAGAAGAGCATTAATTCTCTTGAGAAGTCCATCGTTGACGATTCGCTCATACTTGTAGGTATCTATTTTATTCTTTCTCTCATATCTCTGCTGATGAATTTGATTTTGTTTTGCTCGGATGAAAGAGCGCTTATCAACATTTGGGTGAACTTCAACATCTGAGTCGTCACTCAACTCAAGTGCATCCTGATATTTTGTCAGCCTTGAACCTTCAGCCTTTCGAAGTGGGGGATGGGCGACGATGAGGGGTATGTGTTCCTATATCGTATATGGAATGAACTTACCCATTTGCTATAATTTATCGGCATAATGGCGATAATTCAGAAAGTATTCGTGATTGTACTTTTTTTAAATATCCCTGAAGTTGTGTTGTTGAATATTTTTGAAGCTGCTTTCAGAATTCCTCTCTATCTTTATAGCTCTTTGAATCGAATGTTCTACAACAATTATCCTTTGCGCCCAAACATTCCAGCCGAGCTCAAGCCAACAGCGTCAAAATCTAGCCCCACGTTTAGCTTTCATAAGCTGTGAAAAAGTGTTGTGATTGGTTGAAGGAATAAGGTGATTTGAAGGAAGCGATGACGGAAACTAAATCTACTAGGTAGTAACAAATCTAAATATGCTCTTAGGAAATAATGTTACCCATTTAGAAGGAAAACCTTCAACCTTCGATTATTTTCAACTCGTTGGAATCATTCATAATCTTTATACTCCCACGCAATAATGACAGTTCGGCGATTATATCTTTCACAGCTTCATCGGTGAATTCAGCGGATGTAGTACATAATCCGTGCATCAAAACTTAACAATGCGGCGCACCTTGACAGTAGGAAATGGTTGGGGAGGGGCCTCGATCTGCGATATAGCTTTCAAGCAAGTCTCGAAACCCATTCCAGCTCCCGCAGCTTCAAGATGGACTCCCTCCGGACCTTCTCTGGTCGCAAAACGATTTTCATCCGGCTTCAAAAATTCGCCATCGCCATTGAGCCCCGCGTCTAAGCCAACCCCACAACTATCTACAAGTCGTCTTCTCCAACAAACAAGAATTGGGTTATCATCTCCATGGCGGTCGGCAGTATCTCAATTACGACCTTTCAACAGTGCATCGCCTTTGCAAGATTCCCCAAAGGCCTCAGATAGACAAGATCATATTACACGAGAACGACAAAGGCGCGAGGAAGAGGAGGAAGACAATATTGATGAACAAGGAGATTTCGCACGAAGTGAGAAAGCCTCTAAAGCGACACAAGTCAATTTGAGCGCAAGGTTACAAAGTAGTGGGAAGAAACAAGGAAACACAGCCGCTTTTGGTGAAATATGGAGGTTACTCAAAATTGCTCGACCGGAGGCGAAATGGCTCGGTCTGGCTTTTGTATTCCTGCTTATATCCTCATCAATCACCATGTCAATACCGTTTTCCATTGGAAAAATTCTCGACTTGGCTACTAAAGATCCTTCGGAAGGCGAAAAACTTTTTGGACTAGATATTTCTCAATTCTTCATTGCTCTCGCATGCGTTCTGACCATGGGCGCTGCCGCTAACTATGGACGTATCATTATATTGAGAATAGTTGGAGAGCGAATTGTAGCCAGACTTCGATCACAATTATACAGGAGAACTTATGTACAAAACGCGGAATTCTTCGATGCCAATCGAGTTGGAGATCTCATTTCTCGATTGAGCTCAGATACGGTTATTGTTGGAAAGAGTATTACTCAGAATCTCTCAGACGGTTTACGAGCCATTGTCAGCGGAGGTGCCGGGTTCACAGCTATGGCATGGGTGAGCTTAAAACTTACAAGCATCCTGTGTCTCATGTTCCCACCTGTTGCAATCGGTGCATTCTTTTATGGTCGAGCGATCAGAAATCTTAGTCGAAAAATTCAAAGGAATCTGGGAACTCTCACCAAAATCGCTGAAGAGAGACTCGGAAATGTTCGCACGAGTCAAGCTTTCGCTGGTGAGACACAAGAGGTTGGCAGATATAATCAACAAATCAAGAAGATATTCTCATTAGGAAAGCGAGAAGCGTTGATCAGTGCAACATTCTTCAGTTCAAGCGGATTCTTCGGTAACATGACTATCTTGGCATTACTATACACTGGTGGTTCTATGGTTAAGAACGGTATGATAAGTATCGGTGAATTAACATCATTTTTAATGTATACAGCTTATGCTGGGTCAAGTCTGTTTGGTGTCTCCAGCTTCTATTCGGAACTCATGAAGGGAGTTGGTGCTGCCAGTCGTCTTTTCGAGCTTCAAGATCGAAAGCCTACAATTCCTGCAACTGTTGGTACCAAGGTTAAGTCTGCTCAAGGCGTCATCAAATTCAACAACGTCTCTTTCGCCTACCCAACTCGACCAGCAGTCACTATTTTCGACGGTCTCGACTTTGAGATCCCTTCAGGTACTAATGTGGCAATTGTCGGACCTAGTGGCGGAGGAAAATCTACTATCGGTTCACTTTTGTTGCGATTTTATAACCCTACAGAGGGAACTATTACAATTAATGGCCAAGACATAACCAAAATGAATGGAAAGTCTCTTCGCCGTCGTATTGGAATGGTTGGCCAAGAGCCTGTTCTTATGTCTGGCTCAGTTGCCGAAAACATTGCCTATGGAAAACCCCATGCCTCAAGATCTGAGATTATCGCAGCTGCACGAAAAGCAAATTGTCAATTCATTGGCGACTTCCCTGAAGGTCTGGATACACAGGTTGGAGCACGTGGTGCCCAATTATCCGGAGGACAAAAACAGCGAATTGCAATTGCTAGAGCTTTGCTCAAGAATCCTGATATCCTTATACTAGACGAAGCAACATCGGCTTTAGATGCCGAATCCGAAACTCTGGTTAACTCTGCTCTTGCGGCGTTACTCAGAGGACATAATACAACAATTTCAATTGCTCATCGTCTTTCAACTATCAAGCGTTCCGATCACATTATTGTTTTGGGCAACGATGGAAAGGTTGCTGAAACTGGAACCTACAATACTTTATCTAACAACCCCAACTCGGCCTTTTCGAAATTGATGGAATGGCAAATGAGTGGAGGTGATGCAGCTGATCACAGACCCGTTGAATTAGAAGGTCACTTCACAGAGTCCGAGGAGATCTCGGACGACTTATCGCGTTTGAGTGAGTCCGATGCTATCGAGGGGGAAGCTATCGAGGAAGGAACAAAGGAGCGAAAGGGAAACAAAACTAAGACAGAAGCTGTTTTGGAAAAGACAAATAACAGAGCGAAGTAGATCAAGAGAGGGTTAGCAAGCGAATTAGAAAGAAATGTATGGATATCAGCCTTCGGTTTCTTGTTTATTCTCGAGGCGTTTATAGAGTATGTGGATATAGTATGGGGCTCTTCACGGGCCCTATTCACCACGCAGCGGAGAGACAGGAGGGTTAATTACTAGCGAGGGTCTGATACCGGCTTGTTATAGGTATATCCCGAAAGGGAGAAACACAATTGTATCATACTCCACTCTTATGATAATGTATTGAGTTGTACACTTTTCTTGAACAGTCTATGGCTTCTATCTTTTTGCTGTGCTACGCATCATCTCTCTATTCTCCTGTACATGTTGGGCTTCATGAAAATACCTATTGCAATTATCAGCATTGATATAGACTTTCGAAATAACGAATTTAAAACTTAACAGGTTCGAATGTTCGAGACCTGAGTAGATATTCGAGAAAAGGGAAAATTCAATTGTTGGTGTACCAGTAGGAGTAGGTACTGATAGGACACTTCTCAACTTTCAAAAGAATTAATAAATTCATTTTTCAATTGTTTGATATCAAGATCTATCTTTTCATCATTCAATTTATATGAATTGTTATAAACATCGAGCTGCTCGGTAATCGAACAATATATCTGGTATTTGGCTTAGCAATATTCTTAACATGCTCAATACCCCGGGTCTCTTGTTTCTTCTTTCGTTAAGTGCTATCGTACTTCTAGTTTTTCCACCTTGAAATCCCTCGAGATTCTCTGGGATCCGATTCCCTTTCTTTTTAATTCTCTTCAGTTTAGCCTCTTCAACGTGCACTTTCAAGCCCGAGCGAAACTGCCTGGTATTCATTGTCGTTACACACTTGCGAGTAGCTTTATGTCTTAGAAAGTGACTAACGAGCTTGATCTCTTAAAAACACATTACTGCATGCCCGTCTTAACAAAGTCTACCTGTTTAAAACCCCCGTATACTTCGTCTCAAGACAGCAAAACATACAAATTGTCTATTATAGCTCTCATCGAGTTGGCGACGTGAATCTCTATATGGATAACGCCTCTCGAAATTTGTACCTCATGTCTAAGGTGGGGTTCTAAACAGTTCGTAGACGGCAAGTCTAGTTGCAGTCATACACGATATACCCACTCCTGGAGCTGGGCATTTGTCTGCCAGGAATAGGTAATCCCACGAATATTACCGCGCGCATTTGTGATTCCTGGGTTGCATTTAATACCTACGACCAGTGGCTAAGTATACCCGCAAGAGTATGACTCGGATATTGACCAATTCGAAGACAGGCTCACACACACTATCGTAAAAAAAAGTAGTGGTACTACCTTTCCCCCAGTCTGTCTTTACAGAGACACTACTTCTTCGCGCAATGTTCATTTTGATGCGGACTGTTAAAAAGTCTATCACCATACGTGGCTTTACTCTATGACTAGAATGATTGCTACAAGCCTCTTCAGTGCTAGTCCTTCATAAAGAAGTGGCTTGGTCTAATGTAGTACACCCAGCTACGGAGGTTTGGACCGAGAGACACATTGAGTATCAGGATAAATTGAATAAATCTGGTAATACTACCCGAACTCGCAAGTTCGTAATGGCCGCACGCCCAAGTGAATTCTTTACTTTTTGTATGGTATCATGAGAATCTTCTTTTTCTTCTGTTCGCTGAATAAATCATAATCCATCTACATAGCAAACTCGTCAGTTCGCATTAGGCAGTGGGTATTCGATAATCGATATGCTCAGGTCGACACTTTGCAAAGCGGTGGATATTAATAGCAGTTACTTTATTGGTCTCTAAGTTTGATATATAGATTTTTAAGTGGACGATGTTAACGTGATCTCCATCTGGCCCTCTAGCTCAGAGTTGTTTTAGTGGAACAGGAGCTCAACCACCAGATCGTGATCTTTACCGGATTGCTTGACTTCAGGAAAACTGTTTGTTTAAAAATCATTTCTAGTCTGCATAGCTCATTTATGATTTTGTCTCGGGGTAGTAGAAAAATCCAGTGCGCAAAACTAGGACTAACGAAAGGGGGCTAAGCGAGGGCTTGGAAAATTTTGCAGCTTGACTGTTTAATATAAGAGCTCTGAAATGACGAGCTTTTTGTATGATCCCTATCACTCTTGGAGCTTCTCATTCAGGCCATTTTCATTGAAAAGGTCCAGTTTAAAATTAGAAATTTTGTTCCATATGGTATAACCCAGTATACAATGTACCTCATGTAGCATCTTACCAACGGTCCAGGCAACACTTGAGAGTCTGTTTGCGATGCTTACAGACCAGCTCCGATATGGCATTGCGCTCTTTGATGGACGCGGTTAAACGGTCCAGAAAAAGCTAGGTGCTAATGCAGTGCTTGCACTACTGTCTTAATTCACTTCTTTTTCTCACTCGAAAGCAATCAATCATCGCCGATAATTCAACCTGAGCCCAAAGATATTCATTGTCATTGTGCCTCGAACGGACTTTACAAAATTGTTCGTCCAAATGAAGTGGGATGTACTTGGCACACTTTACGACATTGTGAAAGTCTTTGCTTGTTACAAGAATTCTGACGCAGACATTGTTAAAGTGATTTAGGATGATTCGAAGTAGCCATGTTGACTTTTCAGCTGCCCGAAGAGAGTACCAAGTGTAAGATTTCGGTATTTGATTCAGCTCCTCAATGAATCTTACACTTGGACATCAAATCAACTTCCTAGGTGGAATATTCCCAGTCTATTTATAGATACATTCCTCAATTATCTTTCTTCCTTCCTTCCAACACTTTCTGCTCTCTTGTCAAAATAAATAGAGTGACGACGCCAAGCTACAGCTCTGATCTAACTTTGGGGCCGTCGTCACTGGTTTCGCATGTAATTTCCACTCAGAAAATACAGCCATGTCATGTTCTCGCCGTTTCATGATCATCATCGTCTGTATCAGTAGTATCTCCTCTTGGAGTTCATTCAAAATTAACACACTTTTGACTGGTCGGTAGTGAGACGCTTGTCGCTTATGATTTCCCAGGCGTTCTTAAAGAGTATACGATAGACTCTTGCGGCTTTACCCCGCTTGAAGTAGTAGTTTCGTTTAGTCTTTACATGAAGCCATAACGGTATCAAAATACTCCTCAACAATAGCACTACTCTAACCCCTCACCCTACGAGGTAAATAAACAAGATAGGTGGTCAATGAAACCCGTCGCATTGACTTGATATATGAGGCTGGTCGTTCTTGTCGTTCTTGATTACAAGATTGATCACTTGGGTCGATGTCTAGACGGTGATTTTGACCTTGTATCATACGATGTAGTAAAATGGGCTTTCTGCCTAAATTCCGGCTGGTTCCACTTCCGATTGCTTGTTTGAAGACCATACAATGGAAAGTCTTGTGAGTATCTGTTTAAACACAATCAGACTTTACTGAAGTCAACGTTCCAAGATACTTAAACTCCGACTAAAGTATAAATACTTGGCACCGGGCTGTAACTTTCGCTGCCAAGGACATTCGTTACCTGTCAATATGGTTAGTGGGGGTGAATGGAAGATCTCGATCAGCTGTTTCGTCTTCAAAAATTAATAATAGGTTTCTGTGGTTGGTAAGTTCTCTAGACTTCATGCTGTTAAATTGTTGCTGTTACTTCACTCTATACGTTGCCTGAGAAGTTCAGCTTACTGAACAATAGCTAGTTCTGTAGTAGCTTCTCTTCTCCAGAATAGAATGGATCTGGAAGAATACTAGTGGGTGCACGAACTGATGGGAGACTTCCAGAAGTGACTTGGCAATATCTCTTGAAGTGTTCGTTTCAACACTTTGGGATTTGATATAATGATTCATTGTAACTTGAACAATCAAAACAATGATGGTGGTATTCAAAAATAGAAAAATAAATCTACTATGACTTTTGAAAACTGAGATGCATCCCCGTCAGTCCACACACTCGCTAACGGATCTTGAATTTTTACTTCAGATAAGAAAGCGGAACATTTACAACAGGGCACATAGCTCAACTGAAAGGTTAACTTTTGGGGCTAACGCTTACTTATCACGAGCGATTCGGTCTCTATTGAAGTTGCTCGCCTTATCGGGATGGGTAACCCTACCTGACTACACAACATCACTTGAATCGTGGTCTCAAAATTACCCCGCACCAAGAGAACAGCTAACCAAAGTTAATCGGTATCGCACAAGGCTATTCAGAGAAAGCAAATCTAAACTTGCTGCTAATAAAATCAAAATGCGCGAACAGATGCAAGAGTTTACAACACATGAGAAAGAATCGCTGGTTTGGCGTCAACATTGTCGTATTTCGTGCATATGCTTTCGGTTTAAATAAGCTGCTATGCCCTGAGCAAGTTCGTGTCAGGAAAGGCTGTGGAAGGAATACTTTGAAATCTTCTGAGCAAAGGATTGGTGTAAGATTGACCTCGCTCCTCTTCTACTGAAGTTCAGCGTATCTAAGTGAATGAATCGAGTGACCTCCCGTCCGGTCACTTCAGGGGCTTTGTTTCTCGTGAAATCATCATCTCTCCTTAAGTGCCGAGGTTCCAACTATGGGCACCGATGTGGTCCGTGTAATACACCTTGAATACCTAATAAAGCCTGGTTGGTTAGAAATTCAAGTCGCATTATTTATGAAGCGGGAATCTTGATTCTGAATTTAGATTTTAGAGAGTTGAAAGGAGAATGAAGATTTAGAGTTGGTATATATTACCACACTCATATTTTGAAATGGGAATGATATTGATTGGGTTTTACATGAAAGGATAAACGTGGATGTCTGATTAAGTTCTAGAAATACTAACGATTTGGTTGGTCAATAGGATTCGTTGGCACTTAAGGGGATACATTGAGGTCAACGCTGTGTTCCATTTTTTATACATTTTAGGGGTCTGTGCTGTGGGGTGCTTGGAGATTCGGTAGTCATGATGCTCATGTGGAGACTGATGCGCGGATCTTTTGGCCACTCGAGCCTCCTAACTGATCTGTTCTTGGTGGCAAATTCGACTAATGCATAACAACAACTTCTCTCACAACCCTTCAAATAATCCCAGGCACTGACACGAAAAGCTTTGATATGGTTCTCGCAAATTAACGGTGTATCTGTTCATCAAATTGGCTCGGACGCTTGCCAGCCAATCTCATTTGCCATGCTCACCGCAATGTGAAAGACCTCTGACATTGGTATCGTGACTTTAGGAAATTTCTATTCTATTATGACTCAAGCGATTAAAGTTAAGTATTTACATCAGTGTGGCTTTATCTGATACTAATGCCTTGCTCAATTGACAACATGGGATGCTAGACATCAATTGAATTTCCCATATCGATGATGGGAAACTTTATCGATTTGAGAGCAAGCGTGCCAAGAGGAGGCAAATTCACAAAATGCGGGGGTTGTGTCGATTACATTGCTTATCACAGACTGATTAGCAACGATCTTTCCTTCTTACGGCTTACTGCTGATAAAGATTTCGGCTCGTCACTCTGTATGCCAATCATAACTCTTGGGTCAATTATGAGGGGATTCGCCAAGTATCACATTCTGGGGAAATAATGCTTACTCAATGCAGCATGATGTAGAGCCAAGTGAATGTTGGTCGTTATCTATTCGTTTCGCTTCGTGATTGTACAACCTCAAGTACAGGTTTGACCAACAGGAGTCGTTACCTGAAGGCGAAGAGCACAATAGTCATCTTGATAGGTTCACACAATGATTGTTTTGTCGATCATCAAGCCCGGGCGTCTGCGTCGACTCGAGAATTTAGGCAGTATGACGTCTAGACCTTGTTGAGACAAGGTCTCGCGTTAAGATATGATAATCAATTCTAATGACATAAACTCAGCCCCTTCGGGAGTCAATGAGTATCTCACAAGCAAGTATATAAGGAAGCTTGTACCCTCGATTTATAGATTTAGATTATTATTTATACCATCAAACAACACACAATCATACAAACACACAACTTTGATACTCAAACAAATTCATTACGCACACAAACGCGTATCATACAACAATCAATCAATCATACACACCTAGCCATCATGGACTCCAGACTTCAAACCGTCGGCGAGCAAAACGCTCTTTTCGCAGATCCATTTGCAGAACAGGCCATCGGGTCACCACTTAGTATGTTATTCCCTTTCTCAACACTTTCATGAATATTGTCAATTCAGAGACTAACCCCCCATCTAGAGAAAACCAATACAAGCACAAGCTCCTCCTCACACCTAGACTCTCCATTCGATGATTTTGCACAAGACTGGAAGACTACAACCCACGAGCGAGACAGTTGGGCAACACGTGAGAGACGACGTTCTACTGCGTTCGGAAATATCAGCAACTCTGCTTTCATGGGCACTCACCACGAAGCCAAACATGGTCGCAGCGGTAGTTCATCACAACCACGAAAAGGATCTGTTTTAAGCCTGTGGTCAGACTCGAATGATGAGGAACCTGATGATCTCCTAGTGAGAGTATCGAGTAGAAAGTCCGAGGGGTCTGAGAGGGAAAGAAGAGGAAGTGTCTTGAGTTTATTTCATCGCAAGAAGGATGAACAAGGAAAGGATATTATCAATTCCGAGGGACGATAAGGCATATCAACTTTGACAGTGGATAATAAGTTTCTGTTTGGACTGTTGTATATGGCGATATATTTGATACCTGGGTAGAGCCCGCTTTTTGACGACGATGATTTACGAGTTTACTTGGCTCACATATTGTATTATATAAAGAACTTGTACTGTATATTGGGATTCCGCTTGGTGGAACTCGGGATGGAATACCGAAGCATTTGGATTGTATTATGAATGAAGGAGAATCTCAAATGTATTTCAATCCTGTTTTTATACTGAAACGAATTATTGAGATGATCTTGGTGCGATAAATATCCTCTTCTCTTTTGGACTTCATCTACATATCGATTGAATTTCTCACGAAAAATGACAAGATTAACCTTTTCGTCTAAATTCAAAAACAACTCATTCATCTGATTCTTCAAATTCGAAACTCCTAAATCACCACTGCCTGGTTGACTGCAAAATTTAGCCTAACCTAAAGTTGTCTGTCTTGCTATCTGGAAGGGAAAAGATACCATAGATTATACTTTCTTGGCGTGGGTGAGACTTTCATGCCGCTATCTTTCCTCTACTATCACACCACAAATGCACATGAATTCGAACATGGCCAGTAAATACTAGCTGCAGCACGTAAAAAAAACTAAAAGTACGTACCGCACAACGTACTAAGAACATGGGGAATCAGCCAGCCCCACGGACCCTCCGCAAACTCTATTTCCCACGGACTCGTTTTTGTGTCCACTTTATCTACCAGATAGCATCAGCCCTTTTAACTAACTACCAACTTAGTGACATTCAGGTTTCCCTACTTCCGTTCGTCCAACTGAAATCGAGACGGAGCTTTCCATCGATATTCAGACAGTGAGATGGTAGGTATTCGTTTCTCTATTTCGGTGTGTTTGAAAACTTAATTCACGCAAGTAAGACATGGCGAAATAACTATCAAAATATGGCGCAATACAAAGAGAGTTTGACTAATGATAAATATGGGCGCGGGGTATTCGCGATATCTTTGCCAAGCCTGTAGTTAGCCATCATAGATAAGATAAGGTGACGACGCCGTTGCATTGACAGGTGCGGTGCAAAAGCATGTTTTTTTGAAGGAAAATTCCAAGGCCGAAACATAAAAAAGGTTATTTGGCCACGTGTATCAAGTAAAGCAAATGCGGGGGAGAGAGCATTGTTTTGCTTTGAAACATTAAGGTTGGTGGTATGTTAAGTGCATTTAATAGACTAAAAATCCTGTGAAGTTATACGGCTTTTCCAGCTATTTTGGGCATTAGAAATGTGATTGTGAGGTCGTTATCGCACTAGCTGAAATTCTCCCCTTTTCATGATACATTCGCTTATGTTACTCTCTCACCTCCTTCACTTAGGAAAACAAGGCGGCCATGTTTGACCTCCTCTTGATACTTCCAATAATCCGATTGTTTCTTCAAATCTAATGTAAGATATACTTTTCGATAAGATGCAAGACAATCCAAAGATGGAAAAGATTTTAGTCTCTTCGGATTTTTGATTCAATCAATTGAAGATTCTAGTAAACTTTGACACCTTCCGAAAGTATTCCTCTCGTCATGAACCAGCGTTATTTTTCTCTTTGTCTCCAAACGTTATTCGCCTGTCTTCTCGGCTTATGCTTCGCTCAGATCTGTTGACATCCCGATATTCCCCGCAATGTGTATAATCACTGTTATCGGCCCGTGAAGTTTAATTCTGCATACTCGACAGATCAATATTTTAACATTTCAAACCTCCCCAAAATATCTGAACAATTATTCGGATTTTCACTAGATCTGATACCACCATATCAAGGCTAGTTTATTGAATTCAAACTCCAAATCGTCCGATCCAATTCGAATTCTAGCGAACTCATGAATGATTGATATCGAAAGGTTAGGCGCGGCCTAGGATAGGAGTTGAGTCTTGCTAGGGAAACATCTGTCACTGTCTGGAAATCGTCGACAGCCATCCAGTGGATTGCTACAATCGCCCTTACCCAAGGGAAAGCATAGGCCGTCAAAAATGGCGGATGATGAACTAGCTGACCATGGCCACCTCAGTTTCTAGATGGAGAATTGATTCCGCCGTCGTAAGAGAATATCCAGCCTCAAACAGTTTTCTCGGAAGATCAAGGCAGATACCTTACCATAGACACAAATGAGTTCATTAATATTGATGCAACGAATAGGGTTATCATTCGCTTCGAACAACTTCATTCAGTTGCAAATTTCCCTTTTGAATCACTCCTAATTGGACGTGATTGCTTTCCCATCGCATAAGCACATAAAGTGATGCATAGGAAATCAGCATTGTTGAAGCTTTACCAAAGTGTGATTATGTGCATCGAATACGTCGTCTTACAGCACTTGTACATGAGAGTGTTAACTCAAAGGGGAAATTGCTTGTAAGCTCATTCATCCCCTCTTTGAGATATCTTAATTGAAATAATTGTACAACATCGATATAACACGTGGGACTATTGTGATTGCACAACATCAACATAAGACAATATAATTGTACGATAATGATACCGCATATTATGCATGTGCAACTACGCAGATAGTCTCAGAACCTCTATTCCCAGAAGTGCAGAGACAAAATAAAACCCCCTCATAACCTCCTCCTTGAGACGTCAAAACTGTATAGCATCAATACAACAAGATATGCAATGACATTGTTATTCGAATACGTGATTTGACCTAGCAAAGTAACACTGCGCCATATACCAACTTGCCACAGAAACTTGTTAGCAGAATGTTCTGGCAGGCTCGAAAAACATCGAAAAGGCAAAAAAGAATTAAGAAAGCAACGAAGCGTCTGTGAGAAATAGGGAAGTTATCCCGAAGCTACCTCCACATGAACGAGATCAATCGCGCACCAAGCTGGAATCATTCCTGAGCATTCGATATCAATCCAAGTTAGAGCACTAAGAGAGCGGACTATTAAATCCGAAATGTAAAACCTAGTTAAAGCCTTCGATTTGTGAGATCAATTTGGGACATTGGAAGATACTAATAAAAGGTCTAAAGATTTGCTTTCTACACCAAATGCTTATTCCACCCATCACATGACTATCTCGCTAGATCCACAATTGGCCGTGCACATGTATTCGGAACGGAAAAACTATTTGCCATCACGAAAAAATTCACCTTGCTCCAAAAATGAATTATTAAAAACCTCAACTCAACTCAACTCCCACGTTCAAAAATCAATTAAAAATCAACCACAAGAACAAAAGTACATGATTTAAACCTCCGAAAGTAATGGACTAGCGGTGAGTCAAACGCTTCTACAAATCCATGATTGGAAGTGGGGAAGTAGAGTAAGATTGAAGTGAAAGTGCTCCGATATTAAACAATAGTAAATCTAATGAAAGTCTTCAATACAGTTTTGTTTATTTGCCCTAGCAATCGGATTTACTTACAATATACAGGTGAAGAGCACCTGTAGATGATTATGGTTCTATATACAAATAAATGACTTGGTCACAATGACTGGATAGTAGGAATCACATTCATTCCTCTGATAACCTTACTTGGTTGATGGACCCTTCATACCTAGTACCTTACTAGGCCTGATCCCCGGACGACCTAAATCTTGCAATAATCTTATCACGTGTTTTTGTGATTGATGCACCCGATGTTTCTCATACGATAGTGGTGGAAGGAAAATTGAGGTTTCCGTCACTGAGCTTTTGAGTATTGAGTTCAAACTCATACGATCAATATCAAAATTCCAAATTTGACCATTAAAACCCCCGATAGCCACTTGATCGCCTATCGTATCATAACAATGGTCATTAATATCCAGCGGTAAAGAAACTATAGGCATCGCTCCGTAGTAAATCCACTCCGGTCCAACCGAGAGGGGTTGTAATGACTGACAATCAGGACTTTGCATATTTATAACGTTTTTGATATTAATAGGACCGATGTTTGTTATAAGATGGCGGCCATCTATAGAGAATTTAAAAGATTTGACTCTTTGTGGGGTCTTGATCTCTTGCCATTTGCAGAAATCAATACGACGACCAACTCTGCTACCAAATATTCTAGAGACTTGAAGGGCTTTAGCGATATCCCATAGCTTTATCGTTTCATCGTTCGATCCAGACATAATTAACTTGCCATCTGGCGAGAATGCTATAGCTGTGACCGAGTCGGAATGACCTGTAAGTGTCTTCTGAAGATCGCCAGTAATAGCATCCCAGAGCTTGATTACTCCATAAAGAGATCCAGATGCGATTCTCTTACCATCGGGGGAGAATTTTATAGCTGTAGCCCAATGTGAATGACCTATAAATGTTTTTCGAAGATTACCAGTTGTGGCATCCCATAGCTTGATTGTTTTATCATCAGACCCAGATGTGATTTGCTTGCCATCTGGGGAGAATACTATTGTCCTAACCAAGTGAGAATGACCAATAAATGTTTTTTGAAGATTGCCAGTTATGTTGTCCCATAGCTTGATGATTTCGCGAAGAGATCCAGATGCGATTTGCTTGCTATCTGGCGAGAATGCTATAGCTGTGACCGAGTCGGAATGACCTGTGAGCGTGTTTATTGAAGAAGCCCACGAGTCTTCTGCTTGGGGGAGCTTTCTGAGCCACGCAGGAAGCTTATCTAGGTTGATCTTCCTTATGATACTTGTTTCAGGACTGAAAGCTATCGCAGAGTTATAAATTTGTAACGGCCAATTATTTATAGTCCAGAAGTGTTGAGACAAAAAATGGATGGCATCCTCTACAAGCAGCGATAAGGAAAAGCTCTCTTCTAACTACAAAAGTCTTCGATTAGAAATTGGTTCGGGAAATCGAACATATGTTACTTACATCTATTATATCTTCTAATATTTTTAACGCCTCGGTAGCGCGTGAGAGTTTGTCTAATAAACTCAGATACTCTAGCCACTCTAAAAACTTGGAGCGGAGGAATGTATCGACTACACCTTGTTCATTAGATGAGTTTTGCATTGATATCTTCCCCTTAGCATCTTCAAGGTGTTGTGCCCAGAAAGTAGCTGCGTAGTCCAGGCTAGCCATTGGTTGGTTCCCTTCTATCGATTTCCGAGTTGAATCAGGTCGCGGTAAGTCAACAAGACTAGTCTTGAGTTTTTGAGACAAATAAGATAGACAACTAATTGCGATATCGTTATGCCCATATAATTCACTAGTATCGAGTATGGATGTTCCATTCTCCCCAGCGAGGTAGTCTCGAGCTGATTGATGAAAAAATTTGATATCAGTTCCTCGCATCTTCAAAAATGAAGCACATCGATCGACCAGCGCTCTAGCAGTATCATATTTAGACAGACCTAGAACGCTATCCACTTCCACTACATTCAGAGGCCGATAGGCCAGCATCATCACTCTCAAGAATCGCATACATCCCTTCACAATGGCAGGCTGGCCTTTGCTGAGTTCATGAAGTGCGCGATCATAGTAAGGATGCAAACCTGGCGGCAAGTCTTGAATTGCAGTCAATGTGTTCTCCCTATGCACATTCTCGAGTCTCTTGCATACCATGCTTACCCATAGATACGTGTCCTCGGCCTTTTCAGTGAGCTCATTCTGTATCTTTTGACATAGATCTGATCCGTAAGAGTTACGACGATCGAGCTCCGCAACTTTATTAACAATGCAAGTTGTTACACCCTGAGAAATATGCGTTGAGTTAAGTTCTAAGCTGACCATCACTTGCTCATACCCAATTAGTAAGTTCCGTTCAGCGCTATCCAGTGGCCGACTTGTTAACAGCCATTTGATTTTTGATAGGTGATCGAGTCCTATCCGTACAACGAGCTTCAGGAGATCGGCCATGCCATCATCTTGGCACTCATCTAGGGCATCTACGATCACGTATATCTTTGGAAACTTGCATCGGTATAGAATTTTGTAAAAGATGTCCCATAGCGTTCGCCATGAGGTCATGTCTTTGTTAAAACACTCGTTTTTGGTATCCCAGTGGTCTCACAAATATTCGATAAGCTCCTTTTGTTGATTCACTAATTGCAGGATTAAACCCTTGATGATTGCTTGAAGGGTGTTGAGCTCATAATCGGCATTTTGGCAGAAGAAATAAGTCACTACGGTCGACTCATCTTGTGGGAATGATAGTTTCTCAATAAGACCAATTGACATCATGGTCTTGTCCTTACCGGCACCGCCCTTAATCCAGAGCAAAGAGACATCGCCTCCGCATTTCCAACTGATGTATTGCGGGTTTTGAAGAATCCAGTCAATGGATTGATAGAGCAACTTGTCCTTATTCTCTTTCAGCCGACTCTTGATAGCCAACGTATCAGGACATCGCAAATCGTGGAGACAAGATCGATCGATATCATCAACAGTGACATTCTTAGCTACAACATTTATTAATTACAAACCCATTTATGCTATAACTACACATTGGAAGGCCTACTGATGTGATTGGTACCAATGAATTGTTGGCCTGGACCGTTATTCTGGTTGCCCGCACTATTGTTGTTGTTCTGAGTTCCAGCACCAGTATTGTTATTTTGGGCACCACTTCCATAGTGTGCGTATGCAGGCATCTGCTCGAAACCATCAGGTAAAGAAGGCTCCATATTAGCAACCTCCTCAATTGCATTTTCTAACTTTTCTTTTCCTCTTGATGTCAACACTTGTGGAAAGCGAGTTGCCAAGAGTTGCAGGTCGTCCAAAACCCCCCCAACCAAACTCTCCACACGTCCTTTCTTTCCAATTGTCCGAGCAGCTTTTACATATCGATCCCATCTCGAGTCACTACCTTTTGGCATGACTTTTTCAAACAACTCCTTAAGTTGTATTGCCTGAAATTTACAATCCTCTAAAGTAGGTGTAAACGCAGCCTTTATCGAGTCATCCGTTGCCGTGTTGATATATCTTTCAGCATCTTCAAGGAGCTGGGAGATGAGAGGGAGTTTCGTCGCCGATTTCTTGAAGTTTTTTGGGAGACCGGCTTCATCCTCAATAGCATCGTAGACTTGCTTGGTGGTCTCGATAATTGCAATTATCGAAGATATTATACCGAGGACAAGGCTTGCTTCACCAATGCCTGACATGTCTACTGCAAGAGATGATATCGTAATTTAGATAGCCTTCCAAAAAGAAATGCGTGATTGAAATTAATCCCGACAAAATTTTAGGAGATAATGTGATAATTGTAAATTGAAACGAGCAATAGAGTAATTCGAATGATGAGATAATAGAATTCACAATGAAAGAAAGATCGCAAACATATTTAAGATGTAAAGTGCGGCCACGTCCACGTTACATTGTAGTTTGCGAGCTGATATGCAGATAAACAACCCCTGGCCTGCAGGACTATTTATTATTCGCAAGTAGAGATACAGCTGACCATAAACATGATTAATCTTAGGCTGAAATGCCTAGGTATAGAAAACCAAAGCGCATAATAAGGTAAGTGTGGCCAATGAATTAATATCAGCGAAAGGAATAAGAAACATGATGAAGTATTGCAAAAGAGGTTTGCTAATCCCTGAGTTTTTGTGGATTGAATCTCCACCCACCAAAATGGTTGGTCGGGCACAACTAGTACACTATGTATTGTTTATAGCTTAGTTCAGGCTCTCTAAGAATATAAGGAGATCTATTCTCTGAAGATGATAAATTGAAGCCAAACCATCCCTTCCGCTCCTCTCCAATCGTCACTGCGTAGTTGAACCTCCTCACATTCCACTTTCCACTAAATTGTACCATGTTAGCTCAGTCAGTCAAGAGCCATCGACAGAATAGATGGATGGATACGGAAAACTCACTCTTGTGCCAGTCGTCTCGGTTGCCTCGTCCCACATCTTTCGAAAGCTCTCCGCGTTGTGTACAAACATCTTGTTCTCTTCGTGAAGGGGAAATGTTACCTCTTTCGCAACTTTACCTCCACCCTGCCTTCCCATAAGCACACTTCCCTCTTTCTTCATAGCCCTTGCCAATATCTTGCATATCTTGACCTGATCATCCCATCCATACATATGGAGAAAACTTCCGGCGTAGATTAAATCAATATCTCCCTCAAGCCTTTTCATATCCACATTGTCCTCATCAAATATATCTGCTTTGAAGAGCGTACTTTTCAAATTGTCTTTATCCTTAAAGAGATCATAGCCAAGTTCAAAGAACTCCGTTCGCAAGTCACAACCATAAAGGTTTTCTGGCAGAGCACCATCATAGACAAGCCGTCGAATGATTTGACCAAAGCAACAACCAAGATCGAGGAACTTGGTACCTGGAGAAGCTAACCGCGAGAGAAGTTTAGGATAGTATGGGAAGGATGTGATAACGATGTCGAGGAATTGAAAATTTCCTATGCAAGGATAGGGGAAGATACTCCAAGCACGATTACGCTGTGTATAGAATCGTCATTTTCCCAGAAATCACAAAAGAGAGGAAGATCTAACAATATTTTGAACATGAGGCTCAACTTCGGAAGGTGGGATTCCCGCGTAGTCTTCGAGCAGCTCGCGAATCGATCCATCGAGTTTCGTAGACGGAATAGTAACTTGATACCATGGAAGGTTCGTACTTCGTTCTCCAATTTTGGCTTCAATTTCCGAGTTATTTATATTGGCCATTTTGAAATACTAATTTCAATAGTATGAGTAGTAAGTGACAAATGAATTAAGAACAATGCTTCTCCCCCAGAAGTTATGAGTCCATGAAGCAAAGTAGAACTTCCAGAAATAAGCTGTGAGTATAAGGGACAAGGTAGAAGGTCGTGAATATCTTATATTAAACTCAAAACCGAAAAACAAGGAGAGAGAAAGACGGAAAAGAGTTCCCTTTAGCTCGAACACTTGAAACTGTACCACACTTTCAGTCTTCTCACAGCAGCACCCTAAATCTTCCCATCAACGATGTCTTTTGCCTCTCCACCTGTAACTCATGTGACCATGTGCGTGACCCTTTCCTTCCTATCCTATTATATTGGAATATATCATACGATAAATCCATCAATAAAAGAGGCACAATGGGACAAATAGCTGAGGAGGCGTCGTCGAGACTCCATGCTGGAACTGACATCTGTGGAACGTGGTTATGCAAACAGACCAAAGCATACCCTAAGCACCCGATCAAATTTTCAGCACTAAGCCTCGGTGTGAGTGCCAATACTTCAAGGTAAGAAATTGAAGTGCCACTTACAGATCTATGCCGTATAATTGGATTGTAAATCTGATAATGTGAGTTGTGGCGCAACGCCGCTAACTGAGGACCCACCAAGACTTGACTTATGGATTCCAATAGCGCTACGGCAAGTCGTTTTTGAGGGGGCTGAATATTGTGACACCAAGTGGCTGAAGTAAATACGATATATGCATTCTTCTGCTTATTCCCCGCTCTTGAACCACATTTCAGCACACGTCAAACCACACACCAAGTACCTTCTTATTGCTCTGGCCATTCACATAGATTTGATTCTATACCCAATAGCAAATCTAAGATGTGTATATCGTTTTGAATAAATTGTGGAATTGAATTCTGATCAGGAGAATATTGTGGTGAGGGCTCAAAAGAGACAAGTAACACATCGTCTAAAATGTAACTGCGTTATATGCAAAGTCCTTCAGCTACTGCATTCAACGATCAATGTTCTGGTGGACAACTACTGATTGTTAATTCCTTAATCCACTTGAGAAGTGCGTAATATTCTGTTATATGGGCGATAGTTTTGATTGTTGGTAGCGCGCTTGATATCGCGATAAGTAAGAGTTGAGGCCCCGGCTTATCACACACCACCCATTTTTCGATCTAATTTTTTAAAATTTAATAATAAATCAATTATACAATATAATCTTATAAAACTTGAATATTATATTAATAAATAATAACTAATCCTTATATTTCAATTATATTTTTAATTTTATAAATCAATCTCTCAATATATAGCCTGAAATCTAAGGGATTTATTTTATTTTAAAAAGCTTATAATTCATATTTCAATTCCTTTATAAAAATAGATATAAATAATAACTTTTTTAATTCCTCTTTTATCCATTATTATATTTTCTTAATTGGATTAAGATTCGAAGAGGAAGATAACTAATTAAAGTTTTATATATTATACTCTAATTGAGTTTTATAAATATATTTGGAATACATCTTAAAACTATTCTTTATAAATATATATTTAGATTCTAGCTTATTGAATAATAGGAATATAATAGATTTAAGAATTTATTATATATATACTTTAGAGGTGATACCTTTATTACCCTCAAGTCTTTTCAAAAAGATTAATAGAGATTTATAATTCTAATCAATCGTATTCCATATTATTATTAATACTCTTTCTAATTGATATACTGATTTAATATAATCAATACATTTTTTTTCATTAATTCATTTAATAACCTATATTCTACCCGTTTTTTCTAGTTCGAAAGTGCTTTCGTTCAATTATATAACTAGCCTCCAATCCCCTCCTTCTAACCTAATAATAGCAATATCACTAATTCCCCATCAGCAATACTTATATACAAAATCTAGCCTCTTTTTTACTTATATCCTTAAGATAAAGGGTTTAGGATATATTATACACCTCCTATACCTATATCAATATAATTCCTTTCGAATTGTACACACCGAAATCTCAATATCAAATACATTTTTAATTTGTTTGAAAATCATCCTCTTTTCACTCCAATCTTTAGTAATTATTTTTATAATTTGATAAATCTTTTTAATAATCATTATAGGCTTTTAATAAGTTTTTCTTTTTCGAATTCTTTTAATCGAATTGGACTTAACTATATTTCTTACAATAAATCGTAATACATTTAAATTTGAGGCGATCCATTCCCAGGATTTTTTATCAATCCTAACTTGAATAACTTTAGAATGTCAAGAAGTATACCAATTTTAATAAAATTTATAATTATCATTTTTGTAATCATATTTAATATCCATTTTGGATTTGAGTCGAAAATAATGAATTTTAGAATAATAATTGAATTTTTAAAAAATAAGGTGTGTGAAATTAGGTGGCTACCCTAATCTCGCTTAAATGTGCGATAAGCCGGGGCCTCAACTCTTACATTGACGCGACGCGCTATAATTTTTGCACAAAACTCTGTTCTCCTTATACTTTCCCATGAAGATTTTTACTATCCAATCTGAGCTCTTGATACTGTTTCAGCTATTCAAGTTTGGATTTCCTCTATTTTTAAATTAATTTGACACACTGTGGTTGTGTATTTTATATTTCGACGGGGTAGTCCCCCTCAATTGGCGGCGCTATGCCACAACTTACGTTATTCCAGGTTGTTCTTTGCTTGTTCTTTGCTTTCTGAAGTTGTATTAAGAATAAATAGTGCACTTCTATTAGCTGGCTATAGATCTGTCAATACTTTTGTATTATTTGGATGTATCCGACTTTCCAGGAAAAAAGGAATATTGTTCCACTGCATGCCCGGGTAGGAATATCACCCCACAAGGTAAAAAGGCTGCGGATAGAACAGAAGTCCCCTCTGGAATTGGCTTGCTGAAAGTAAGCTGAGGTTGTGCAGAAAGTGCGCTAGAAAATGAAATATCGCTTCGAAAGTTTCGAAATATTGGACACAGGATATCCAAACTTTTTACGAATGAGACGCAACTACTGGATAGGAATCCCGATGGCTTATCAGGCGTCTTTGCATACACATTTACTATATTGATTACCCCAATGTCAGATATCGCGGTTGTTTTGATAACTCGGGATGTCGCATAAGGATAGATATCCCACAGTGACTAACTAATATCTAAGACTGGCCTGAAGATAAGTGTATCATCCCTTCGTATGTCGAATAGATTACTGAATGCAGGGCACTAGGCTATTGGAATAATAAGATACCTGATGGTGATACTATGCAAGTTTTTTAACGCCAAAGACGCCGCTCAAGAAAGTCTTGTACAAGCTGTGCAGTAGAATGTCTACCCTTCCTTCAAAAAAAGCCTACTGATCAGAACCTGTGTATATTTCGTAGACTTACATGGTTTTCTAAAACTTTTCAATCAGCCAGCCTATTTCCAACACAGCTCACACCATCCATTCTATATCTTACTACCTCGTCTCTACCTGTTAGGGAATACTGTCGACGAGAACTAGAATTCTATGTTCTTGCTCAAGAAAAGAACCAATGAACTAAAGGCTGAGGAGGAAAGGAATAGGAGGAGGCGCCTCCTCGCCACTATATGTACAATCGTCTTGGTTCACGAAGGAAAACCTTTCCTAGTGTAATCACCGGAACTCCTGTAAACTCGGACTCCCCTCTTACCACTGTCCTTTCACTCTGGAGTCCCCTTTTGCAAATAAAGTGCTCACTTGACTACCCCGCACCCTATCTTCTGGCACAATCACTCTTCCTGAAATATCACTCCATTCTCTTCTCCTCCCGTAAAGAAATTATACCCATCCATAAGCCATGGCGCCGACACACCAAATCTTCCTCTTTGGAGATGTACACGTTGACAAGCTCTCCGCTCTCAAAACTCTTTTCTTTCACTCTAAGACTCATCCACAGCTGAGAGACTTCCTAAGATCTGCCTGTGATGTCATACAATGTCAACTTTGCACCTTGCTGCCAGAAGAACGAGGAGTATTCGGGCACTTCGACGATCTTCTCGAGTTGGGCCAGCGATATGCCAAAGAAGAGTTCCCGGATGAGATGATTGGCTACGTTCTCATCACCACCATCCAAGTTGGTGACTTGCTCTTTCACAAATTGACCGAAGATAACATCAATACACATCCCCTCGGTCTTTGCATCGGTCTTCTTGCAGCTTCAGTGGCGGCGGCAGTGAGAGATACGAGTGAAATTGCCAAGCTGGGCATTGAAATCATAGCAATAAGTCTGCGATTAGGTGTTGCTGTACGCAGGCGATCGCGATGTATCGAGGACACGCAAAGATCATGGGGCTGTATATTGTTTGGCCTTGAGTTTTGGGACCTGGAGAAGAAGTTGGAGGAGTTCAACAAGGTAAGCCAGAGCTGTACATTTCAGGCTGAAAATAACGATACTGATCTTTGGTCTTTGTTGTAGAATTTCCCAAAGCCAAGATGGGCATACGCAGGCGTAACCACAAAATCGTGGACTACCGTCTTCGGGCCTCCATCTACACTGCAAAGTTTATACACCGCAATTGACGTACCACACAAATACCTCACCTCAGCCAATGCGGTTCACGCTTCGCATCTCGTACCGCTAGATATCTCCTTTATTCTTGGAGATTCGCCTGTTCTTGGCTTCGCACTCCCACACACATCATTACTCGTTTCAATAAGCACTGGCTCGCCGTATCTAGCAGCATCGCTACGCGAACTTCTCCACGCAATTGTGGATGATATAGCACATAAAGTGATGTGGATTGACAAGACAGTCGAGGGTCTTGCTTCAATTACTAGTCTTGATAGGGATTCGGAAATCACCATAACGACTCTGGGGCCAAGTAGTCATACAGGGATGGTGCAGAAGATATTAGCACCTTTTTTCTCCGTCGTTCACAGCAGCGCTCGCACTGTGTCTCATGAAAGTTCAGACACCGTAAACTCACGTGGTAGATCGAGTGATATCGCTGTAATCGGGATGTCCGGGCGCTT